CCACCGTACTTCCAGTTGCCGTTGCCGTCCATGACACCAAAGTGGGTCTCGTAGCCGCCCTTGTTGGGGACGTCCTTGAACATAAAGTAGTAGGTCGTGTCGCCGCCGTTCGAGCCAGCCCAGTCGTTGAACTTGTCAAAGTAGCTCTTGGCGTTGTCGTACGTCGAGTGGTGGCCGTTGTACGAGCCGCCGGTCGAAGGCCACCCTGTCTCCGTGATGCGAGCCTTGCCGCCCCACTTCTTAGTGATCGCACTCCAGCGCGCGTTCAAATCGCCCATCGGGTTGGTGATCGACTCGGGGCCGCTGAAGAACGGGTAGATGTTGACACCGATCGAGTCGCACGCATCCGCGACCTGCGGGTTGCGCAAGAAATCACCGTCGATCTGGACGGTACCAACGGGCACGTTGAGGCCCGCGGCCCGGATCGCAGACTTGCCCTTGTTGATGGCGTCGACGACGGCACCGGCGCCCCAGCCCTTGTGGAGCTCTTCGTTGCCAATGTAGATGGCCTTGACGCTGCCCGGATGGCGCTTCGTGCCATCAATTGCGGCTTGGAGCTCCTTGTCCCAGTTGCCGCCTTCGATCCAGACACCAACAGCAATCGAGAGGCCGGCTTTGGCGGCCGCGTCGATCATGTTCTTGCCACCGTACGTCACTTGATACGTGCGCACGGACGAGTACTTTTGCTTGATCAAGCCAAAATGGCGCTCGAGGTCCGCCGGGTTCTCCGTCGAATCGTAGCAGATACCGGCGCCGTTCGCACCGGTCGAAACACCGGTGGCGCTGTCCACGCTGGGGCTGGCGGTCACGACCGCGAGGACGGTGCCAATCATGGCAACGGCGCCAAGGGCGCTTACAATCTTCTTGTGGCCGATGGCCCAGTCCTTGGCGCGCTGGAGAAAGGTCGGCGAGGCAGATGCAGGCGGCATGCCCATCTCGACCTGCGACTCTGGCGTCTGCATGGCAATTCAAAAGTGATGCTCATTGCTTTGCGCGCACGCAGTTACTCGCCGATAGCCGGACGCCATGCTGGGTGTCCCATTCTCAAAGCATTGGCGCCACCTTTTCGCACTTGGCGTTTGTATGGGTCCTCTACCTGCGTGGAACCCAGCTGTCGAAGTTCGAACCGTTGCTTCGTTCCACCGAGTTGGAATTCGTATACACGTGCCGTAGTTTCGAGTGGAGCTTGGTATTTGTATGGCATGTAAAAGGGCGTCCGATGCAAGCTGGTGGCAGCGAAGCACGGCCTCGACCCTATTTGCGTTTTGACGGGTCCCCTGAAAACAAAAATAACGTGGCAATTGTATACGTCGGCGATCGAACACGTAGGCCCTGCTTCGGCCATCCCAGACTGGATCGCAGCTTCGATGTGTAGCACGCGCTGCGTCATGGACATGGGAATGAGGAACGCAATGCCGGGATAGGTACAGCCTCCGTAATGCCTGAGAGATACTACATAGGAGAGATACTATACTAGGAGAGAAGTGTGGACACGCTGCTGGAGGTGATGACGACGTGGGCATTGCTCACGCGGAGATGGAAGAGCCGTGCAAATGGGTGTCGCCGTCGCGGCTACGTGAATCGAATAAGCTTATGTCGTCGACAAGGGCGCATGACAGTTCGCCTCCAGTACATTGTAGCAAGTGCAGGTATCGAGTATCTGATGCGGAACACCGAGTATCCGGGTTGGTCAACTTCTCGTCTTCTCGTCGACGCCATCTCGTGCATGGAGGCACAGTGTAATAGTCGTATGGAGAGGCCATCGCTCGCCCAGGAATCGATCGACCTGGCATCGGAGCGAGGTTGACTCGCGTGCTTTTGAGACGCGGCGATGAAGCCGATTGTTGCACCGACGATTACAGCGGCGCGCCAGAGTCTTCTGCGTCTCGAGAATTCATGACAGGCTCGCGACGTTCGGCGCCGACACGTGGTGCCGCGTGACCAACATCGCCGTCGTCGTGCCAAGTTCTTCGAGGTTGCACTACCGGTATACTACTGAAAAGCTGCAGGACTGGAGTCCATGCCGACACTTTCTGTGTGCTCAGAGGTAGAGCGCGTCGTTCAACGGACGTGTCAAATAGGATGGCGCCAAACTCACGATGGAAATCAATGGCCGCGAGCTGCGGAGCTTTTCGGCGAGCACTCGCCTCCTCTACCTCCGATCCTCGAGACTCGCACGGTGGCATACAAAAAGCAAGATGTTGAACATGGTGGAAAATTCAGGATTCGAAACGACTTGGTTTTTGTATACTTGACGGGCCAAGGTGGTGCCACCTGGTCCTTTTGTCGCAGCACCGACACCATACAAACGCACGATCTTGGTCGCACTCGAGAATACTGCGCTTCTTGTATGCCCGCACTCAACCCATGGACGCGCCATGCCACGCCGATCCTGGGCCGCGCCACCGCGAGTACGTCCCAGTGCCGGTCCTGCGACGCGCGCATTGAGCAAGGCGAGATCCGCGTCGGCGTCATCTTTCAGCACGTGAAGGGGTACATTGCCCTCGATTGGCACCACTTGACGTGCTGCGCGTCGCCCCACCTCCTCCCCAGCGTCGACGGCTACGAGCTCTTAACCGAGTGCGAGAAGGACGCAATCGAGACGTACGCCAAGTCCACCAACGTGGTCGTCGCATGACATTTTCCTTTTGCTCGTATTTAATCCAACACGACACATTCGTGTTCTCAAACGGGGCGTCTTGGTCTGGACGTGCTGGAAAGTCGATGGATCTCTCCACAAGGACGCGCGAAGGTTCAGCAAGTCGCAGGTGTATATCGCCTCGGAATGGCGTGGGATGTGCGCCCATCACCCAGCAGCAGCCTGCACAGTACAGTACCAGCTCACAGCTCACACGCGTCAAATTACCGCAGCACAGTGTACCGAACTTGTGCACCGACTTGGCTCTGTCCGAGTCGAATCGCTCACAAGTCCACACGGACACTACCTGGTACACCATTTTACTACCCAGCATCCGAGGCATCGCAACAGGTCAACATACCGTATCGCCTTCATCACGACGTGCCAACAACCTCGTGGTCATGCTTGCCGACCGTAGAGGAGGCTGCGCTTTGCTGCTGGCGAGTGGACAGTGTGAGCGATGACTCCATCGCCGTCATCCAGAACCAACTTGTTAGTTAAGTAGAAGGTGACCTAGCCCTCGGGGTAGATAGATAAGGTGGATTAACTCGCCGCGTCGAAAAAGTGTTGGTACTCCTGGAACAGGTCAAAGAGTTCGGTCGCGTCCGGGCGGTCGTCCGGGTTGTACGAGAGGCACTGGCGCGCGATCTCATAGATGCCGGACGGGCACTGCAGCGTGAAGCGCGGTGCAATCTCGCCGTTGACGACCATCATTGCAATCCGGGTGCGAGCCAGAGTGATGGTCGATCCCGGTTCCAGGTACACGTGCGAGTACGGCACCTCGGCCGTGTCGAGCTCCGAGAGGAGCACACCAAATGAATAAATATCGGCCTTCTCGCTGTACCGGATGCCTTTGAGGACCTCAGGTGCGATCCACGCCGCCGTGCCAATCTCGGCCGTCATGGTCATCTCGTCTTCGCGCGCCCGGCTCGTGCCAAAGTCGGTGAGCTTGGCCTCGTAGTGCGGGCCCAAAAGAATATTTCGGGCTTTGATATCGCGGTGGATCACAGGCGTCGATAAGCCGTGCAAATACATCATGGCCTCGACCATGTCCATCGCAATGCCCAGCTTGGCCGCGCCGCGCTGAAAGCAGCTCGACGTGTCGGACGAGATCGTTGGCGCCGACCGCCACGCGTCGCCCGTGAAGCTGTGTTGAGACCCGAGCGACGCCACCTCCTTGGCCGGCAAGACCGAGTCGGCGATCATGGGTGCCTCCCACGACAGCGTCTTGGGGTTGGCGACCAGGAGGCTCCACACGTCGCCGTACGGCATGTACTCGGTGACGATGCTCATGTTGTACAAGGTCGTCCACGTAATGCCGACGAACGCGACAATCTTGGGGTGCGTGAGCTGCGCGTAGACGCGGATTTCTTGCATAAACTCGTCGATCGCGTGCGGGTTGTCGACGAACGAGGGCAAGAGCCGCTTCATCGCCACGTACGTGCGGCTTGTGCTCGTCGGCTGCGCGTGGTAGGCTGCCAAATACACAATGCCAAAGCCACCGCGCGCGAGAATGCGCCGGCGCTCGAGGGCCGCGGCCGGGATCCGGTACGCCTGAAAGGCCTCTTCAAAGCGCACGTCGTGGTAGAGCCGGCAGCTGTCGGCGAGCCCCGTGAGCGGCGGGTCCTCGAGTTCTTCAAACCACTGCTTCTTGTGGCACAGTCGGTACATGAGGCAGCCAAGCACGCTCAGAAGCGAGACAGACAAGACCAATATCACAACCGTCGACGTCGAAATCGGCCCTGCACTGGATGGCGCGTCCTGGACGAGGCAGATGGGGAAGACGCCGTAGAGCAGCTTGGTCTCGTACTCGACGCTGCACGTGGACGCGGTCGTGGTTGTCGAGAGCACGTTGCCGCACATGTCAAAGAGCGTGATGCGCGTGTCGTTGATCGTTGTCATGGAGGTCACATTCGGGTTCAAGAGCTTGCTCAAGAGATCAAACTGCGACTGGTTGGCGTACAAGGCCGTGAGGGGGTTGCCTGCCAAGCACCTACGCCAATTCTGAGCCCCACGCGATCCTCTCTCGTCGTACAAGTGAGTTAGACTCGGCGGAAAGTTTGCATGGAGCTCCTGGATCGAGTTGTTCCAGAGCGATCTAGGACAGCAAGACGTGAGCACATGTGCTGCAATGTAGCGCGCTTACAGCATCTGCAGCGTCGGAGGCCAGTGGACACCATCGATCGACGTGATGGCATTGTTGTTGAGCGAACTACCGGTCCGTAGCATCGTGAGACTGTGTCATGGCATGTTGAGGCGATACATGTTGACGAGGCCGCGCGTGAGGAGCGCAGGGGGCACGGAGGTCAGCGCGTTGTGGCTCACATCACTAGCGTTCGGTGAGGAAGCTGCGTGCAAGAGTCCGCATCGTACATGACGGCGAGGGACTTGGGCACGCCGTCGGCCGCGAATGCGCTGTCGCCGAGTTGATTGTGGCGGAGGTTTCTATATCCTCCTCGTTTTAGCACAACAAGAACGCTATGGAGCGAACGCGTACAGCTCGGCGAGTGCCGGCGCCTTGATGCGGACGCTTGTGAGGCGATTGAACGGAACGTTCCTAGACGTCGCCGATGAGCCAGTGTCGCAGAGGATCGCTTTGGCCTACAGCGTCGTGACCATCTCGCTCAATCGGACGTCAAGCGCCGTCAATTGATTTCCCAAAAGCTGGCTACAGGTCGTAGCGACGTGAGTGCAAGCTGTCACCCAATCGACGACGACGTACATGGTTTTGGCGACGATGGGAATGCCGTGGATGTCGACGTCGAGGCTGCTGTTGACACGACTGAGGTTGAGGTTGTCGAGCTCACTAATCACCCATCATCGTATGTGCATGAGGACATGAAACGATCGTCGGCTTCGTACATGACCGCCGCAGTGTTGGGCAAAAAAGCCACGTAGTCGATCGCAAACTCGCCATCGAGCGTGTTTTTGATAAAGCCGGTCGTGCCCATGCGAGCGCTATACGTCTTGACGGCGCCGCGGTACACGCTGCCATTCGGAAACCACACGCACGACACTTGGTCGGGCTCGGCCTCGCTGCCGTACGCAGCGTCGCCCCACTCGACGCCGTCGCAGTTGGTCGTGAACGTGGTCGTCGCCACGGGCACGACACGCAGCGCGCGGCCCAGCCGTGGATCGCCGGCGATCACTGCGCGCAGAGCCAGGAGACCCACGAGCAGACGCCGCAATCGATGGCGCATTGGTCAATTGTCGTACTCCACCGTGCTGTTGCCTCTTTGGCGACGCGCAGGACATGCTCGGCCGCTGCTCGGCGTCCTTCTATTACCAACGCCCTGTCTGGACAGGACGGATGACATCTTGCTAGCGGCGCGCTATTGGATCGGCTCCGTGGTCGTGCCGATATGTGATTGGCTACCGAGATTGCACTTTGGGTGCCGATTGGTGCAAGTTCAAGTCGGGTGATGCTCGTCATGCGTTACCCCGCCTACAGTCGGACCCGTGTTTATGTTGACCGGTCGAAGCACTGGACTTTAGGGCCTCAACGCGATGTCGACTGCATCTCGGGTACAGTGTAGTTGGACCGTCGTGCAGTTCACGACGACGGCGACGAATCGTCGTAGTAGGATCGGGCGTCGTGGTACATCGTGGGCTGCAAAGCAACGAGCGATGGCGACAGGAGGACCTGCGACGGGGTAGATTCCGAGGCTGTCGTCGCCGCCGCCACGAAGACGTCTATGGCTGCGTTGGCGCAAGGACGCACGTCGTCGGACCGCAGTGTCGCAGTGGCAGCGCGCAATATTTCACCCGCCGCCGCGATACACGGTACCTTAACAAAGGAGCGCAAGGCCGCTCGGGCTGCTTTCTTCGACGAAGAAGTGCGAGCGACGTGTTGCTTCTGCCGCGCCGGACGGTGTGACGTACGAGCTCGTGTCGCGTTGGTGCGAAGCGCGTCGGAAAAGATCCACGCAGAAGATCCATCGCGCGGTTTGCACCCATTTGATTGGCTACCTCGTGACGAATGATTACCAATCTTCATCGACAGAGCTAAAAACACCCCATTGCGTGGGCACAGGTCGGCTGTGTGCACCACGACGATGCGCCCATTGTCCTTGACCAAGAACAATGGATGCTCGCAGTGTACTGGGGTACACTGATGTCGGTGGCGTCTGCGCGCGACGCGCGCCCACGGTCGGCATCCCGTCAACTGTGCTTAAAATGGCGTGCTTTTAGCCCGCCGCGTGGGACAAATTCGATTTTAGGTGCCACCATGCAAGCACCGCCCGGCGGCCCACCGCCACCACCGCCGTGGTTCTCTGCTGCTGCGCGATCGGGCCCCTATGCTCCGCCGCCGCGCGCCTATGGCCCTCCACCGCCACGCGCCTACCGCCCGTTGCCGCGTGCGTACGCGACTCCGCGCTTCGTGGATCCGGACAGCGTCTGGGTCCAGCAGTTTGAGGCACGGCAGGTGCGGACACCGCCCGCACCACCCACGACCGTGCAGGCCGTGCGCGAAAAGCTCGCGTGGGGCCTCCAGACCGTGCGCGAATGCAAGCTCCTCCAGCACGATCTCGCGCACCTGGCCGCGACATGGCCTCACGACGACGAGCGCGCCATGACGCGGACCAAGCTGCAATGGGACCGGCGCTGTGCGACGCTCAACAGCCACATGGAGAAGCTGCGAGCCTTTCAAACCTCGTTTTTCGACGACAGCGATGCGCATGCGACGCTCCGCCGCCTCGTCCAACGCGTGGCCAAGAAGACGGTACCACGAGCTTTGTCATGCCTCGCTCGTCACGCTTTCGCTGTGGCAGAGGTATCGCAAAGCATTGCGCCAGCGACGAAAGGCCGAAGCCATCATTGCTAAAGGGCTCCAACTTGCACAGGTGGACGATCTTGCGTCGACAACCGAGTCGACGGTACGGTCCTTTGCGCAACAATAGGATTCCAGACCAACGGTGCGTAGATGGCAACGACGCCAGCAATGACGAATGAGGATCCAGTGCCACAACCCTCCAACCGGCAGCAAATGAAGCGCGAGGCTTTGAGCAAGCGGCTGCGTCTTCTCCTCGAGCTCAAGAAGCAGCGGTCTGTCCAACTGACGGCCGACGATATAGCCGCGCAAACCGAGGCCAGTGCGGTCCTGGCGGCACGAGACGCGCTAATGGCGGCGCGGAAGCGCCCGCCGCCGCCACCACTTGCTTTGGACGAGCAGCAGAGTCCAGTGGCGCCAAAGAAAATGGCGTTTCCCCTGCGTGAGGCCAAGATGACCATGGAAAGCCTCGTTGCTGTTCGGTATGCTCTCAATGACGTGTCGCATGTGACGCTCGCTGCCTTAGGTTCGCATGGGACGCCTTCTTGGTCTACGACGGCACGGGCACGCGCATTCCGCCGGTATATATATTTATCATGGCCTGTCGCCGTGAGGCGTTCCAACCACCTCTGTAGTGCATGGTCGACCCACCTGCCGAGCCCTCGGAAGGATGGCAGCCCTACTACCACCAAGAGTCCACGGCGACGTCACTGTGATAAAGGACATGCTCGGCTAACATGATACATGATCGATTGACCATCCCGAATGTAAATCAAGTCATGTTCGCGTACCAGCCCCTAGTCTATTAAGTGTCCGTTGCGGTCGAACGTCCGTAGAAATACGTGCATCGATTATGTTCAAGACACGAAAACGAACAGGCATGTTAAGTTAGTTGAAGGCTCAATGGCCGCCCAAAAAGTCGGACGAGAAAAAGTTGGCGCTCTCATCGTGGCGCGGCGGGGTGCACTCGGAGAGGAGAGCGAGCAGCTCTGTCGCCGTGGGTCGCTGCGCCGGGTCAAATGCGAGACACCGCCGCGCGACGCGGGCAATCTGGTGCGGACACTGGGCGCGAAAGCCCGGGCGGAGCTCGCCGTTAACGACGAGCATCGCAATCCGTGTCCGCGCCAGCGTCAGCGTCGACCCGGGCTCGAGAAAGAGGTTGGCATATGGAATCTCGGTCGTATCGAGCTCCGACATCATGACCCCAAAGCTGTAAATGTCGGCCTTCTCCGTGTACCGCACGCCCTTTAAGACTTCGGGGGCGATCCACGCGGCCGTGCCAATCTCGGCCGTCATCGTGAGGTCGTCGGCCCGGAACCGGCTCGTGCCAAAGTCGGTCAATTTGGCCTCGTAGTGGGCGCCCAAGAGCACGTTACGCGTCTTGATGTCGCGGTGGATCAACGGCGTCTCCAGGCCGTGAAGGTAGCGGAGCGCACTCGCGATCGCTTTCGCCACGTCGATCTTGGAGACGCCAAACTCGGGGCCTTTGACCATGCCCATCGTCGTGCGGCCGCGCATCGCATCGTGCTGCATCTTGGTGAACCACGACGTGACCCACTTGTTCTTGAGGAGGAGACTCCACACGTCGCTGTACGGCATGTACTCCATGACGATCGTGATGTTGCGGGCGTTGCTCCACGTGACGCCCTTGAAGCCGACAATGTGCGCGTGGTGGAGCGACGAGTAGAGGCGGATCTCGTGCAGAAATTCGTCAATCGCGCGCGCGCTCGCCATAAAGTTGGGGAGGAGCCGCTTCATGGCCACCTTTTCCTTTTGCCGGAGCGTACCGAGGTAGACGACGCCAAAGCCGCCGCGGGCCAAGACGACGTCGCGCTGGAGGTCCGTGACCGGGATGCGCACCTGCTGCAGCTGGTCGTCGAAGCGCGCGTCGTGCTGGAGCCGCGACGTCTCGACCATATCCACCGGCAGCATTTGGTCGTCGTCGGTCTCGTGGTACCACCACTGGGCCGTCTTTTTCTTGGCCCGACGCAGCCGGATGACCGCGAGAAGACTGAGGAGCACGAAAATGAAGACGCCGATGCCGACACCGACGACGGTCGAGAGCGACGCCGTCTTGTCGTTGCCGAGGATGCAAATGCCAATGCGCGGCGTGATGTACTGGACGCCAATGTGGCCGTGGCAGTCGGCGCCGCCGAGGGTCGAGCCGAGTACCGGCCGGACGTCGGGGGACCCTGCCCAGTTGGAGAGCTTTTGAAGGATCTCAAACTGCGACGCGTTGGCGTAAATGGCCGTGATCGGGTTGCCAAACAAGCCCCTACGACATGTTGTTGGTGTTTCCGAAACGGGGATCGTGGCAGCGACACCACGTTGAAACGTCGCACGTACAAGGTCGTCAAGGTCGCTGGAAAGTTGGCAATGATGGTCGAAATCGAGTTGTTTTCGAGCGTAATCTCCGTCATGCCTGGCGGCCAGCGAATGTCTTTGATGGTTGTGATCGAGTTGTTGCTGGCGCGCCTACCGATGCTTTAGAAAAGGGGGTTTTGCTGTGGACGTGACGACATACAAGCGCTGGAGCGATGGCAACAAGACGCGTGGTGGCACTGATGTGAGCTTGCTGTAGCTCATGGTTCTACAGTGAAAGTTATTAGTGCATCTCGCCGTCAGAAGGCGTCGTCGACGAACAATTCCACGAGCGATGGTGGCAGCGGGCTTGCCTCAAACGCTGTTTCGGTAAGGGGGTTGCCACTGAGCCACCTATGATTCAGCGATTTCACCAACGGCAACCTCAACAACTTCAACGTACAACGTCGCGAGGCCCGACGCGTTGAGGTTGACGCGTGTCACTTGGTTGTTCCGGGCGTCCCTACGCACGGTACTCCTTAGCATCATGCATCGCGTCGGCATGCAGGCGTACAGCAGCAGCATCGCGCTCGAAAAGGCGACGCTCAGATCGGAAATCTGATTGTCGGGCACGTATCTACCACACTACATGAGTCCACGCTCCAATACACTACGATCTGCGTACAGCGCGGTGGTCTCGAGGCGGATGCCTTCGCTGTCACGACGTAGCGACGCGTTGAGACGCGAGATGCCGAGGTTAGCGAGGACCCTACTCGTCACGGTCGCACGGATAAGAAGCGACAAAGGTGCCATGATCGTACGTGACGGGCGCTTGGTTGGGGAGGAACGCCACGTAGTCAATGTGCAGGGAGCCGGCCGCGACGGTGTTTTTGATGTTGCCGGTCTTTTCCCGAAACAGAGACGCGGTCGTCTTGTTGGCGCCGCGCCAGACCGTGCCGTTGGGGTACACAATGCACGAGGGCTGGTCGGGCACGACAAAACTCGGGTCGGGGCGGAAGGTCACGCCGGCGCACTGCGTCGTAAACGTCGCCTCCGTCACCGATGGGATACTACTACGACTGTCGCTCGCATTGCGCACACCGAGGCGGACGTCGTCCGTGTCGACGGCGGCGACGAGCAGTCGAGAGTGCGGCGTCTGCATGCAAATGAAAGGTGGGCGCGACGGTACCGCGGTGGCGCCTGCGACAAGCCACGAATCGGTACCTGCTAACGGCGGTGTCGCGCGCGTCCGTCCCGTGACACGCATGGCGCGTCGCCGTGGCGCCAATTTCAAAACGGACCAATCCGTGCACGCGGATACCCGGGCATGCGGTCACGCGACGCAGTGCGCGCACCGCAGCAGCTTGCAGGTATCGCACAATGCGCTGGCTCGGTGGCTGTGCATCCATGGCTTCGCGCGTGATGATTATTGCACCAAAGATTCCATCATGGACGGCGACAAGGCGGCGGCAGCCAAGACGCCTCGTGCAGCGTGCGTGGGAACACATGGCCACAAGCAGTGGCGCCAGGAGGTTCGACGGCTCCGTCCGGCATGTCCTGCGGCTCGAATAAATGCATGAGGGCGCTATGCACGTGGACGATCGCCGGTACAAGCGCGTCAACAGTCTAGTAACTCTAGTTGAAACGTCGGACAATAATGAAACCCTATCCCTCTACTACAATATTACGACGACGACGACGACGTGAAACGACAACACTAGACGGCATCGACAACGGACGAGCGCCTCGGCTCGATCGACTCGTGGCACGGCTCCAGAAGCGCGTCAAAGCTGCCGTGCTTCTCGGGGTGGTACTGCCGCAGTGAGACTGCCAGCTCGGCCGCTGTCGGCCGGAGGCCCGGGTCGTGGGCGAGGCAGCGCTGGGCAATCGCGACGATGCCCGAAGGACACGCGTCTGTAAAGGTCGGCGAGAGCTCGCCACTCGCGACCAGCATCGCGATCCGCGCCCGCGCTAGCGCTAGCGTGCAGCCCGGCTCCAAGTAGACAGTCGAGTACGGTACAACGCCCGTGTCGAGCTCGGCCATGAGCACCCCAAAGCTGTAAATGTCGGCCTTCTCCGTGTACCGCACGCCCTTCAACACTTCGGGGGCAATCCACGCGGACGTGCCAATCTCGGCCGTCATCGTGAGCTCGTCGACGCGGAGTCGGCTCGTGCCAAAGTCGGTGAGCTTGGCTTCATAGTGTGCGCCCAGAAGGACATTGCGGGCCTTGATGTCGCGGTGGATCAACGGCGTCGAAAAGCTGTGCAAGTACACCATCGCGTCGACGACGTCACTGATGATGGCGAATCGGGACGCGCCCGGGAGCGCGTGGACGCTCGAGTCGTTGGAGCTTGGCACCGTGACCACATACGACGCGTCGGCCGTCGACGAGGACGCTGTGCGCCGCCGGGACACGGAGTTGATCGCATTCGTCTGGCCACCGGCGACCATGGCTTCGAACCACGACGTCACCACGTCCTTGTTGGCCTCGATCAGCGACCACGCGTCGCCGTGGGGCATAAACTCGGTGACCATCGAGATGTTGGCGAGCGTCGACCACGCGATGCCGATAAACTGGACCACTTTCGGGTGCTGGAGCTGCGCGTAGAGTCGAATCTCGTGCATGAACTCATCGATCGCTTGCGGGCTGTCGAGCACGGCGGGCAGCATGCGCTTCATCGCGACCGGCGTCGTCTGCCGGAGCGTGGCCTTGTACACGACGCCAAAGCCGCCTTTGGCAATCACGACATCGCGCACAAGGTCGTCGACGGGAATCCGGTAGTCCTTGAGCGCCTCGTCAAAGCGGACGTCGTAGTAGAGCCGCGTCGAGTCGGCGAGCGCGAAAAAGTTGGCGTCGTCGTCGTCGTCGTACCACTTGGTGGCGAGCCGGCGTCGGTCGCGCTTCCGAACGCAGCAGCAGACACCGGCGGCGGTTAGAACGACCGCCAGCACGATCAGGAGCACGAGCACCGGTACGCTCAGGTGCATGCGGCCATGGTGCTCATGGTCTTCATGGGTCACGCAAATCGGGTACTTGTTGAGAAGGAGCTGGACACGAAAGTGTCCGCGGCAGCCACTGGCCGAGATGGTGGTGAAGATGGGAAACTTCACCGTCTTGTTTCCGTAGTAACGCCGGAGGTGCTCGTAGCCTGGCGGGATGCGCGCCTCGTCGAGGGATTCGTTGAGCAGCGCAAACTGAGACGCACTGGCGTAAAACGCCGAGATGGGGTTGCCGCGTAGCCACCTACGCCGCCAACGTGAGTGCAACGGATGCAGGCGACGAGCAGACTACAAGGTGGACAAGCTCGATGGAAAGTTCGCTCGGATTTCGGAAATGCTGTTGTTTTCGAGAAACCTACTCCACGGACCCATGAGCACCTATCGTGGCCGGCACGACCAAGCACGCACAAGGTGGAGAGCGTGGGCGGCCACTCGATGCCGTCGAGTGACGTGAGCGACGTGTTGGCCAATCCGCTACACACACTTTTAACACCAAAAGCAAGGCCGAGTTTGCATACAGCGACGTGAGCGATGGCACCAACACCTCGGTGGGCACGGCCCCGAGCGGGTTGTGGCGCAAGGAGCTACAGTTTTTACGCTTCAAAACGATCCACAGGAACAAGCCGTACAGGTCGGTGACGGTTTCTGGCACAGACGTCGTCGTGAAGCTTTGGCGCGTCAACGCGTTCGAGTCCAGGTTCCTAGACAGCAATTGAACTCACAAAGGGTCGTCAAGACAAACAGCCGTACACTTTACGCAGACCGTCGCCGCGGAGCTGCACCGTCGAGATGGCATTGCCGGAGAAGTAGAGTTCTTGGAGGTTCGGGCCCACATCCATGGAAGCAGTCGTGAGGCTGTTGTTGTTCAGATACCTAAGTCATTCGTGCTGAGAAGTCGTGCGCGTAGGCGTGTGTGCGTACAGCGAGACGACGCCGAGCGACACGTTGCCCTTGTCCTTCACCAGGGTCTGGTTGATTCGCTCGAGGCCGACATTTTGGAGCGCGCTAAGCTTCAATGAGCGTTCCGACGACGGCAGAGGAACTGTACGTACACGATGGGTACGTTGTTGGGCAGATACTCGAGGTACGCGATGTCGACGCCGCCCCAAATCGCATTCTTCAAGTTGCCCGTCGTAAAGTTTCTCGACGACGACGTCTGGAAAAGGTCGGTCTTGTTGGCGCCGCGCCACACCGTGCCGTTGGGGTACACGATGCACGAGGGCTGCTCCGGCACGACGTACACGCCGAGCTCGGGCGCAAACGTCACATTGGGGCAGTCGGTGGTAAAGGTCGAGACGTTGACGGCGCGGGTGGTGACGCCGAGGAAGCGCGGGTCCGACCGGACGTCGTAGGCGCTCGCTGCTGCCGTTGCGAGCGCAGTGATGAGAAGACCCGATGGCATCGACGGCGAGACTGCGAGACTGGTGCAATCTGGTCGGCGCCTTTCTGCGGCGGCGTGACCGCCACCTGGCGTGTCCCAGCTGTTTTGGCCAATCGCCATTGGCTACCAAGGGTAAAGTGCCGTTTCGCACGCGTCACGGGACCGGTGACACGGGCGGCTGATTCGTCGACAGTCCAGCTCTGCGTCGGTGGTGCAAGCTTCCGCGGTGCATGGCTCTGAGCGCCCGATCAGCTACTTGTAGTAGGAGACTGCGATTACTGCTTCTTGATCACTCGTGGCGGCTGGAATGCAGTCGTCAGCGTTTCCGCCGCATATTTGTCGACATTCTCATCCGCCATTGCAATGAACCAGTGAAGAAACATTACCGAGAGACGGGAGTACTAATAGTACCGGTAGTAGGTAGTGCAATGCAACCTGGGTTCGACGACGACGACGACTCGAAGAACGATCAGCGAAGCGTGCGCACCAACGAAACATGCCATCATCGAGTTCTTACCGTGGCCTGGAAGCTTCTTCCCAACATATTCCTCGTCGTCGTGCGTCGACAGCTTGCGGCAACGGCATCGATCGCCACATCGTCCTGATTTCGTTTCCACACTTGGAGAGACAAAAGGGTGTACAAAGGCACACAATTGTCTAGGACGAGAGCTCGGACGAGAAAATTGCTTTGAATTTGCACTTATCGCTTTCGATACTGGACAAATTGAAGCGCACCGAGCGCGAGAAGGCGGACACCGAGAATGCTCAAGACCGTCACGACGAGGTTGCGCGTCTGGTCGTCGATGCGCATCTTGTACACGAACGCGACATAATCGCGGACCATTGGTGCGTCGACACCGATCGCGCGGCGCAGCGCCAACGGTGCGTCGTGGACGACGCCGCAGCCCACGGAGTTGCGACTCGTACACTGCCCAAAGGCCTCGGCGGCCAGTAAGGCCATGCCGTACTGCGGCGGCGTGCTTATGTAGAGCCATTGGTACCAAGATGGGATCTGCGACGATGGCGGCACAAAGCCGTAGAAGAGGAAGAAGATCGAGTTGAGGAGGATGCCGAGGAGGATCGATGTTTCCGGCGTCGGAAGCAGGTACACCATGAGCTGGCCCATGTAGACGTACAGCAGCAGCAGCAAGCACACGTACACCGTGTAGAGTCCGATCGCAGCGGTCGCGATGCCGACGAGCGGCGCAAAAATGACGGTAAAGAGCAAGGCCGTGGCCATCGCGTACGGTACTTCCACGAGCGTCGAGCCAACAAAATACGCCAATGGGGCATACGTGGAAGCGGCGCGTTCGCGGTAATAGCTGCGCCGGGCTTCCGAGGCGAGCGGGATCGCGCTGTTAAAGCTGATGTAGCCCATGTACGTCGTCGTGATGTACACCATGCCAACGGCGGCCGTCGCACCAGTGTACGTCTCGTAGCGCACGTCGGCAAAGACAAGACCAAAGAGCAGTGCGAGGCCCATTGCAATGTAGAGCCGCGTCCGAAGGCTCTCGGGCGTGCGCCAGTAGACACGAAAGAACCGCGTCGTCAAGAGGTAGCACTGCGTCACGAGCGGCGCCCCAGCGGACGGCGCCGATAGGTCCGAGACACCGGTCGATGCGAGCGCCGACATAAGGGCATCGTGCTCCTTGGACTTGAGAAAGCGATCGGCGTAATCGATGCGATCGTCGGCGAGGACATCGAGCATCCACGTGGCCGGGTTGACGTCCTGTGGTGGCGCCTTGTGCCACGCCTCAAAGTACGATAGCAAGTGCGCACTTTTGGGCCCGAGCGGTCCAAAAAAGGCCGTCGTCCCGCCCCGTTGCAGCAGCAACAGCGCGTCAAACAGGGCAAACACCTCGGTCGACGGCTGGTGGATCGTACACACGACCGTGCGCCCGGTCGACGCGACGTGGCGGACACTCTCCATGACGATTTTGGCCGACCGCGCATCGAGACCCGACGTCGGTTCGTCCAAAAAGAGAATCGTCGGCGACGCCGCGAGCTCGACGCCGATCGTGAGCCGCTTCATTTGCTCGACCGACGACCCGCGGACAAGCTTGTCGGCGAGGCTGTGCATGTCGAGGAGAGCCAAACACATATCGGCAAACGCGATCTTTGCAGACGTTGGCACGTGGCTCGGTTGCCGCAAGAGGGCGCTAAAGTGCAGTGCTTCTCGGAACGTGGTCGCTTCGCAGTGCACGTCGTCTTGCTCACAGTAGCCCGCGTACCGCGCAACACTCTGCGTCGGCACCCCGTTGACCGTGATGCAACCAGTGGTCGTGCCCGCGGTTTTACGACCGGCGAGCACATCGAGCAGCGTCGTTTTGCCGGCGCCGGACGGACCCATGAGCGCCGTGATCGTCCCCGGCTGCGCGTAGCCGCTGACGTTGGTGAGGAGCTGTACACCGTCACGAGTTGCGTACGAAATGTCTTGGAACGCCAGCGTCATGAGCGTTTGCGGCGGTGCCGCCTGCAGGGGTTCGTGGATGTCGATGCGTTCATGCATCGGCGCCTCGGTGTAGTCGCCCGTCGTCGTCGACGTGGTACGAACGACGGCGACATGATGGGCCTGGCCGTCGTTGTACTCGACGTAGGTGAGAGCTAGCATCGTCGCGCCGACGTAGGCGACGTAGCTCCCGAGAAGAAACACCACCCCGTATCCGACCCATGCTGCGTCGTGTGGGAGGCCGAGCGTCTGCAGTTGCGCGTGCCCAAACGACGTCGCGCCGGTCGCATGGCAATAGTCGATGCCTTGGTGCTCGCAACGCGCGTACTTGGCTGCCATATACTCGCTAATCGTGATGGCGCGGTTGCACCACGCCAACGGGTTGAGCCAGTAGATCCACCTCAAAAACGGTGGCAGCGACTGCAGCGGGACGACGAAGCCTGCGAAGACGACCGTGACAAGGATCGTGAGAAGCGCCATGGGATCGGCAATGTACATGCTCGGCGAAATCGCGCCAATCAAGCCAAACCACGCGCCAAACGTGAGGTTGGTGAGCAGGAGCAGTAGAATGAAGAGCCCAAATGCTGACGCCGACGCTGCAAAGCCCGCGAACCAGTAGACGAGACTGCCGCAAATGAGCGTCTCCACAAGTGCAAACGGCACAGGTGCCAGCGACTGCGCGACGACAAATGCAAACGGCGAAAAGAACCGGCTGCGCGTGTGCTTGTAGTACGTCGACCGACCGAGCAGCAGCGACGGCAGCGTCGCAATCTGCCCGAGCGCGAGAAAGATCGACGTTGAAAAGACAACACCGAGCAATGTTGCCGGCGTCGCCGGGTCGACATTGTAGAAGGTCGTTGCGTACATCAAGCCCATGACCATCACCGTCACGAGCCGACTGTGCACAAAGCTCGTGTTGCGGAAGAAGATGCGCAGCTGCCGCATCAATAGCGCACGATATGGCGACACCACCGTCGATGGTGGCAGAGGCGCGACGGACGCCATTACGACTGGTTCCGACGGCGTGTACAGTGGCGAGGCTCGAAACGCCGACGCGAGCGACGCGCTGTCCCGGGGCACATTCGGCCCACTGCAGTAGGCGGCCATTTGCGGCGCACCCAAGTCGAGCAGAAAGTCCGCGACGTCGCGCTCAAGCGGACACACAAGTCCGATCGAGGCAAAGTACGCGCTGCAGTCCACAACGGGGCCGTGGTACAGCACGTGGCCGCAATGGAGCAAAAGCACCGAGTCGAAGAGGTTGACGACGGGTGGCGTCGGCTGCAAAAGCGCCACAACCACGGTTTTGCCAGACGCGGTCGCGACGTCCTTGAGCAGCGACACGAGCCGGTGCGTCGTCGCGCTGTCGAGACCGGTGCTAATCTCGTCCAAGCACACAATGGGGGCATCGCCAAAGGCCATTTCACCAAAGGTGACACGCTTGCGCTCGCCGCCTGAGAGCTCGCGAATCGTCGTGTCGGCGCACGTGCCGAGGCCGAGAGCATGGACGACGGCCGCTGTGTCCATCGGCGCGCGGCCACAAGCAGCTGCGAACGCAAGCGTCTCATTGACCGTGAGCGACTCGTCGTGGTCGTCGCGCTGACCCACGTACGCCGCCCTAGCTGCAGCATCGGGCATCGGGACACCGTTGTACGTGATGCGACCGTCGATGCGCATACGCGTGAGGCGGCCGCTCAGAAGCTTCAAGAGCGACGACTTGCCCGCGCCTGGTTGGCCCAAGAGAAGCGTCATCGAGCCTGGGGCAAAGGAGCCGCTCATCGAATGCAAGATTTGCCGACGCGCCAAGGATCCGTCGCCCAGCACCGCCTTGACCCGCGACCAAAGCGGCAACGGCGCCGACACGGCGACATCGGCGAGATGAATTGCGAGCCCCGATGTTGTCATGGTGGAATGATCGCTTGCCATGGAGATGGTAAAATCAAGTGTGGTGGTGCAGAGGTCCTGTCAACTGGGTCCGACCTCGCGTGTCCAGCGCCAAGATTGCAAGACCCATCAGTAGTATGTATCGCGGTTTGTATGGCATAGTCACACCAAGTCTTTCTACTCAGCATGAAGCTTCGGGCGTCCAAGGTGGGACAGACACTCCGAGACGACTAGGCTTTGTCCGTTGGGAATCGATGAGCAATATACGGGTGATCAGCAGTGCGCACGGCACACGAAACATGACAAATACCGTCCTGTCGCAGCGCTTCGAGTGGTATCGGAGTTGGTCTCGGTTACCCTAACCCTTTCAGAACCATATTTAATCTTTAAGAAATGAGCTTGTGGACGCACGCAGCTCATCGACTAGAATACATGCATACAAACCTGCCTACGAAAACCACCCGCTTAAAGCATGCGTTCGAATGCACATACTTTCCCGTCGCACGGATGACGCGGGCGTGGCAGGTGCATGGGAGCAGCACGAATCACGACGCAGAGTCCGTCCCATCATACAAATAAATTAAAATAACACACTAGTTGGTGCCGAGGAGTTGACGCAAGTGGTATTGTTGTAGCAGCTTGGCCACTTGTGTCGCCGCCGGCCGGTCGTCCGGGTTGTGCGCTAGACACTGCATCCCGATCGCAACGATCCCCGGCGGGCACTCGGCCGTAAACTCCGGGACCAAGTCGCCTGTCGCGACCAGCATCGCGATCCGCGCCCGCGCCAACGCGAGCGTACAGCCGGGCTCCATGTAGACCTTGGCGTACGGCACTTGGACCGTGTCGATCTCGGTCATCATGACCCCAAAGCTGTAAATGTCGGCTTTCTCCGTGTACCGCACGCCCTTTAACACTTCGGGGGCGATCCACGCGGACGTGCCAATCTCGGCCGTCATCGTGAGCTCGTCGACGCGGAGTCGGCTCGTGCCAAAGTCGGTCAATTTGGCCTCGTACTGCGGTCCGAGGAGCACATTGCGGGCCTTGATATCGCGGTGGATCACGGGCGTCGGAAAGCTGTGCAAGTACGCCATCGCGTCGACAACGTCCGTGAGGATGCTCAAGCGCGAGACGCCATTGTCGGGCACCGACGGCGGGCCACTGTGGCCGCGGCGGTCGAGTGCCGGAAGCTCGGTCGTCTCCGAGTTGCTGTTGGGTGCCGTCGACGGTGTCCCGAGCGACGCTTGCGCGGCCAGAATCGGGTCGCGCTGGAGGCGGTCGTGCCATGACCGGGTCTTCCCATTGGCTTCCAGAAGACTCCAGACGTCGCCGAACGGCATGAACTCGGTGACCATCGAGATGTTGTACAGCGTGGTCCACGTAATACCGATGAACGCGACGATCTTGGGGTGCGTGAGGTGCGCGTAGAGCCGGATCTCGTGCATAAACTCTTCGATCGCGTCGGCGCTGTCGATAAAATGGGGCAGCATGCGCTTCATCGCGACCGGCGTTGTCTTCCGGAGCGTGCCGTAGTAGACGACGCCAAAGCCACCCCGTGCAATGACAAGGTGGCGATCGAGGTCCTCGACAGGAATCCGGTACGGCGCGAGGTAGTCGTCAAAGCGCACGTCGTAATTCAGCCGCGCGCTCTCGACCACGTGGTAGTAGGCCGCCGCGTCGCCCGACTCTTCGTACCACTGCGGCTTGTTGGCCGCGGACGAGGCGAGGAGCGACGCGTTCTGCTGCACAAGCTCGGCCTGGCGTTTTGCTTGCGCGCGGGACCGCCACACGAGGTACACGATGACGCTGCCTGCGACGATAATGACCGCCGCGATGGCCCCAATCCACGTGCCGACGTGGATGACCGGCTTGGACGACGGAGCGACCGCGTCGGCCACGACACAGATCGGGAACAACTGGTCGACACCGCCCGCCGTCGTGGTGATGTACTCGGTGCGGACCACGCGGGTGTCGTTGCAGCGATAGAACGGCAGCTCGAGAAGGGGCGGGGCCCAAACTTTTGTTTTTTGGAGGAGTGCCAGCTGCGATGAGTTGGCGTAAATGGCTCTCAAATTCGCGTTCGTCTGCAAGTCGCTATACAACCACCACGTCTAAAACCTGGCTGCGACACGGACAACGTACAGAAATCGCAGTGTCGACGGGAAACTCGCCTCGAGCTCGCTCAAGCTCGTGTTGCGAAGGGACCTATCCGTCATGACCATCGAGTTTCCGTCGCCGACGACGTACAGCTGGTTGAAAAGGGGCGGCCACGCAAGGCCGAGTGGCATGCTCTCGAGCGGATTCGCGTTCAATAGACTAGACGTGACGTCAGCGATGTGCCGATCCATGCAAGACCACGCACAGTGTCTGGAGCAAAGGGAGATGTAGCACGTGCGTCGGGAAGGCGCGCAGCATATTTCGCGCGAGGCTCCTACACACGGGCCTGAGTCGCTTTGAATCCAAATCGCATATTTTGTACAAGGTGGTGAGTGTGCGGGGATACGCTATGGCGTTCAAGAGTACGTCGTTGGTGAGCGAATTGCCCGCGAGGTCCCTACGCGACGTTAAATGAATGCGATCTGGAGTTCGAGGAGCGAATCTACAAGGTCTGGAGCTTGGGGTGGTAATGCTGCGTAATGTTGACGTGGCCAAGCGCGTTGTTGGACAGGTCGCTAGAAAGGAGCCATCATCATCAACATGGATAGAAAGCCTCGCTGTCTTCGTACAGCGAGAGGAGCGCGTCGGGAATCGTCACTTTAAACCTCCGCAGCGCATTGTTGGCCAAGCTGAGGGACGTCGCGGCGAGGGCGAATCCGGTGCGGTCGGTCCTCAACGACCCGTTGACGCCAGTAAGCCCGAGGTCGGCGAGGATGCTAGCACAAGGCAGGCAGTTCAGTTAGCACCGACGGAGCACTGCTTGGCAGCGTACATGGCCTGCACGCTGTTGGGCAAGTCGCGCACATAATCGACATGGACACCGCCGGCAAGGACGTTCTTGAACGCACCAGATTGGAACCGGGCAGGTGCTGCCGGGTCGATCGTCGTGAGGTTGGCACCACGGAGGACGCGGCCGTCCGGCAGCCAAATGCACGACGCCATCGCGCCCGGGGTAAAGTTGCCGGCTGTCGCGAGACTGCAGTCGGCGCTATCACACTCGGTCGTGAACGTCGGGACGGCGACGACGACCGGTGGTCCGACCACTGCGCACGCCATTCTTATCGTCGAACGAGCGGAAACGGAAAAGTGCACACACTTGCATAATCAGCGCGCCAGATGCGGCGCCCGGCCTACGTTACGCATGGGTGGCGACCAGTATGCCGGTCAAGTGACAGCGAGAACCACAACCGGCGGCTTGGCGTTCCGTGACCGCCGCCGTCTCCGCCGAGTCTGGCTCGTTGCCCCATGTGCCCCATGTGGCCAATTTGTCGTTGACGCTGCAATACAAGAGGTCGGGCGGATGGGGCGTTGCTGCTGGGATGCTCCGAAACTGACGTGACAGGCGGCGTTGACGCACTGCGATGAGCGACGATGTCACTCGACCCGTCACGAGAGTGGGCCGTCGACTCGTTCGAGCTACTCCTGCGATTCGAGTTGCAGCTGGGTACAGACGCCAGGGGCGTCACTCGACGTGTTCTGCGGCGGACAATGCGGCTCCAAAGGTAAACAAATATCATGATGCTCTGTTTGTTGGTTGAATGTGTGAATAGCATCAGCACATCCTTAGTAGTAAACTCAACCTAGTCGTGATTAATTGCAAGCTAACCTAGTCGTGATTCGAGAAGATGGTGTATGTTGAGCTTTTTGAAAACCGCTTCTTCCGATAAAATCCGAAGTGATCCCTAAAAGCTGCCTCGATCTATGCACCATTGCCCCACGACTACACAAGTGTAGTCGGAGGTGGGATAAGGCCGACGATCACCAGGCTCCGTCGGCGTCCCTCTGGGCAAAAACACTCGGATTGACTACCCCTACCTCTACGTCTGATCACTTTTGTCTTGGGGCATCTGTGCAGCGGCGATCCAGTTCGGAACTGGGTTGGGTCAACGGCGTGGCGCGGAATGACTGGACGTGACGAGTTTCGGACTTTGCCGTTGAAAATAGGATTTATCCTCATTCACAGCCGTGAGAGCACGCGGTTGTTTGTCGAGGGCGTCACGCCGTCGCGTTCGTATTCATGCAAGACCTTACGGTTGAGTAACTACGAGTCACAAACGCAGCCGTCGTGCGAACGCACCAGCGTCTGATTTTGAGCGACGCAAGCACCGTGTCTTTAGCGCTACCGACAAGAACGTCGTGGCTGGAAGCAGAGCCTGAACGAATCGGGTCAAGCGACGCCAACGTCACCCGTTGGACTCGACATCAACAAAGCATGACGCGACAAAGATACACACGGTTGTGTCCGCCGTGCTTCACCGTACTTTTCTCAATAAGGACATATCCTCGTTTCATGATGCCAGTCCTCGTTTCCATATCCGGTACACAATTTGCAAGGGTTTATCCGGACTGGTTCCACCCAGCGGAATCAAGTCTTGGAGGTTTCGGATTTGCAACCGGCAAGACGCAGCGCGGCCCGAAGACGACGACGCCCGCGGCCGCAGCATGACGCCATCCACCAAGCGCGACGGCGAAGCGACGCCATCCAACTCGGCTAGCCGAAGCTACATGATCGGGTCGGCCGGCGGCGCCCAGCTCCAGGACATCCTGCGCACGGCTGCCCAGCCCGAGGAGGCCATCGTCTCGTTCCAAAAGCAGCATGGCCTCAAGGAGGACACGGCCGCATCGCTGCAGCTCCTCGACTTGCTCGGCTGCCGGCGGTCCGAAACTCACCGCAGCCTCCTCGACGCGCTGCTCCAGACGCTTCTCGCACGCATTCAACACAAGCACACGAGCGAGGCGCAGCTGCTCAAGCTGCTTGAGGCCACGTTCCCGTACCTCGAGTACAAGGAGCTCCGATGCATCCCAATCGCGATCATGGCGGCGCAGAGCTCAACGCCGTCGCTCTACCTCAAGGAGATGTGCGACCCGGACCACCGACACTTGCTTGAACACCTCCCGATGCACGTCAAGCGCCGCCTCTGGAGCATCGCACCGCACGAACTGCGGCTCGAGATGGACAAGGTCGTCGGCCAGTACCTCGACCACAAGCGGGCGCTGCTTCTCGAAGCGTCGTGTCCCTTCGACCTGCATGCCCACTCGTCGCTGTCGCCCGAAGACAGGCGGAAGCAAGACCCGGTGCTCGCGACGCTCGTCAACATGATTGGCGACTCGGCCGAGCTCTACCTCCAGTGCGTCGACATTTTGCGATCCATTGTCGCGTCCGGGGTACTCCCGGGGCACGCGTCGTCGCTGGAGTCGCCCAAAGAGTACACATACCTCGCGTCGCTGCTTGGGACGCTCCGCAGCGACATGGCCAACGTCCAGCGCGACCACGCGACCACGCTCGTGCGCACGGACCCGCTGCACAAGTTTCTCTGGTTCCTCGACCACGCCGTGAAGACCAACCACATGGACGCCGCCCAGCTGCTCGAGATGCTGCTCGTGCTCCGGAAGCTCCGGCTCCGCGACGCCAAGCCGTCCGCGACTGCGATCGCGTCGGCGCCGCCGCCACCAAAGGAAACGCTCCTCAAGCTCATTGACCAAATGACCAAGTCGGACAGCCGCCGCATCTTTGCCGAGCCGGTGCCGGACGATGTGCCCAACTACCATACGATCATTGCGTCGCCCATGGACCTGAGCACGCTGCGGCAGAACGTCCATGCGGCGCTCTATAGCTCGCTCGCCTCGTTTGCAAAGGACGTCAACCTCATGTGGACCAACTGCATGACGTTCAACGAAGAAGGCACGATCTACCACAAGGAGGCGAAGCGGCTCGAGAAGCTCAGCGCCGGCTGGATGGAGAAGGCGCGCGTCGCACTCGAAGCGGAGAAGGCGCCGCCGTGCCTGCTCGCGACGACCGGCGCTCTCTCGGCCAAGGACGCCAACGACACGGAGCGCTCGGGCATGGTGTTTGAAGGCGAGTGCGACCCGCTTCTTGCCGACGTGGCCATTGTGCTCTCGGATCCGATCGTCAAGCGGCTGTTGCACCACGTGCTCTGGCTCCAGCTGCGTTCGGTCGCGGCCCGGCACATCTTTCCGACCGACGATCTTGTGTGTCGCGGCCTCGTGCAGCTCCTGCATGTGGGCAACGTTGGCTCGGTGCGCCGCATGGTGCGGAAGCAAGACTACCTCTTGCGGTCGCCGCCCGTGCTCGTGCTCCGCCTCTGCCTCCCGCTTCTGCTGCGCGCGCAGCTCTCGAGTGCCCACATGCCCGAACGAACGATCGCCATCTTTGACGAGAGCTGGGCGACCGTGTGGGCCAATGGAACGTGCCTCAAAGCTCTTGGCCGCCAGTTTTTTCTGACGCTCATCCACGACGGTGCGCTTGGCGCTGCGCACGCGCTCCTCAAGACGACCGAGGCGGCCGCCGAGAAGGACGACGCGTGGACGCGGGACAGTGTCTTCCTCTCGAGTGTCGTGCATGCGCTGCTGCTGCACAAGCATCATCTCAAGCACAAGGAAGGGCCGTGGAAGACGCTGGTTCACGCCCTCTTCGAGACAATATGGCTACCTGCCGTGCGCCTCGAGCAAGGCAAGGCGTACGTGGACGTTGAAGACATTGCCGTGCTGCCGCTCGTGCATCTCCACGGACAGATGGCGCGCCTCATGGTCGCCTTGGTCGACGACAAGGAGTCGATCCTTTCGTTTGCTTCATCGGCGCTGCATGGCTTGACGTCCGAGACCGTGCCACTCGCCGTCGTCGCGGCCAGCACCGCCTTTGCGCCGCTACGACCGTTCTACCGCAAGCTACAGCTCAAGCATCCCGAGCTCGCCAAGGATGTGACGTTCGAGGACGACTTGTAGCGTGCGTAATAGATGAACGTCCTCTGAGTACACTATCTACACGGCTTGTCCTTCGGATCGCTCGACGGCACGACCTCGGCGCTCGTCGTTCTCACCAGCTCTTGTCATTGTCCTTGTTGCCACCATGGCTCCAGGACCGTCCAGCCCCTGCTGCCAGCCCCTGCTGCCAGCCCCTGCTGTCAGCCCATGCTGCCAGGTCATCCTACCAGCTCGACGACGCGATCCATGCGAGCAAGCAGTGCGCATGGCATGTCTCCGGTTGATCGGGCCGCGTGGCGCGTTGCTACAAGGTATCCGGAATTGGCATGGTATCCGGCAGTGCATTTTCAGGGGCCAAGTCAGTTGACGACGGACGCAGGAGACGAGCATGTCGATCTCGCAGTTCTACATCCTGAGCAGCCGCGGCGACACGGTGCTTGCGAACGACTTCCGCGGTGACATCCCATCCGACAGCAGCGAGATCTTCTTCCGGAAGGTCAAGTTCTGGGACAAGGGCGACGCGCCGCCGGCCTTCCACGTCGACGGCGTCAACTACCTGTTTGTCAAGAAGAATGGCCTCTACTTTGTGGCCACGACGCGCTTCAACGTCTCGCCGGCCTACATCCTCGAGCTCCTCACGCGCCTCTGCCGCGTCTTCAAGGACTACTGCGGCGTGCTCTCGGAGGAGACGCTGCGCAAGAACTTTATCTTGTGCTACGAGCTCTTGGACGAGACGCTTGACTTTGGCTTTGCGCAGGACACGAGCACGGAGGGCCTCAAGGTCCACGTGCACAACGAAGCCATCCTCGTTGGCGAGGCCGCGCTCGCGAAGGACCAAAAGTTCAACTCGATGATGAACCGCCACTCGAACATCAAGGCCGCGAACGCGGTCCGGAAGCCCGTCGCGAACGGCCAGCAGACCAACAAGAAGAGCGAGAACGAGCTCTTCTGCGACATCCTCGAGCGCCTCAATGTGGTCTTCTCGTCGAGCGGGCAAATGCTCAACGCGAGCATTGAAGGCAAGATCCAGATGAAGTCGTACCTCCAGGGCAACCCGGAACTCCGGCTCGCCCTCAACGAGGACCTCGTCATTGGCGCCGGCAACCACCGCCCGTTTGGCAACACATACAACCAAGTGATTCTGGACGACTGCAACTTCCACGAGTGCGTCCAGCTCGACGAGTTTGAGCGCGACCGCGTGTTGACGTTTACGCCGCCCGATGGCGAGTTTACGGTACTTGGTTCGTATCTCTCCACTGGATAGTCACAGTTCGTGGTGGTTAGGTCATGAACTACCGCTTGACGGGCGATTTCCGCTCGCCGTTCAAGATCTTCCCGTACGTCGAGGAAGTGTCGCCGACCAAGATTGAGATGGTCGTGAAGGTGCGCGCCGACATGCCCGACACCAACTACGGCGCCAACGTCATCATTCGCTTTCCGGTGCCGTCGTCGACGGTCAGCGTGTCGTGCGACCTCGGCAACAACGGCGCGGGCCAGCTCGCCGAGTTTCGCGAGAACGAAAACCAAGTGCGCTGGGCCATCAAGCGCTTCAACGGCACGGCCGAGTTTACGCTGCGCGCCAAGATTACGCTCAAGGAGCCCAACCCGCACGTGCGCCGTGAGATTGGCCCGATCTCGATGAACTTTGAGATCCCCATGTACAACGTCTCGACGCTCCAAGTGCGCTACCTCCGCATCCCGGAGCACGCCCGGCACCCGAATTATGTATACAAGCGCTGGCTCCGCTACGTGACGCAGTCCAACTCGTACGTCTGCCGCGTCTAAGTTGCGAAAATGCAAGCCGTTTTGCCACGTGTTTCGTCTTGGTCGAGGTCGAGTGGTGGATACAACCGAGGTACGACAAGATAGTGCCTTGGTACTAATATACTTTATCGCAAAGTCCGGGGTCGACGCCTACACGCTTTTGTGCGCGCCACCGGGCAGCAGCAAGGGCGTCGTTGCCGCGCTCCTCTGCCTCCAGCCGTTTGACGCGAGTGTCTTTTGTGTCTTGGTGACGCCCAAGCCGAGCCGCGGCCACCAGCAGCTCGCCGACTGGTCGACCAAGTTTAGCGAAAAAAGTACATCTGGGAGCTCAGCGCTGTGGCGCTCACGGGCGATGCGACCGCGGACCTCAAATTGCTCCAGGCCAACGTCCTGATTGCGACGCCGTAAGTCGTCGGTGGCGCAAGCGTCCGCGCATCCAGCACGTGTCGCTTTTCATCGCCGAGGACCTTCAGCTCCTCGGCGGCGGCGAGTACGGCCCGACGATGGAGATCGCGCATGCGCTTCATTGAGAGCCAAGTGGAGGACCACAGTATCCGCATTGTGGGTCTTGCCAACCAAATGGCCAACGCGCAGGACCTCGGCGACTGGCTTATCGCCTCGAACGAAAACTGCTTGACGCTCCACCCCACCAACCGGCCGCTGCCGCTCGAGGTGCGCGTGCTGTAAGATCAACCACTTTGCGTCGCTCGAGGGGGTACATCTCCGAGGCGATGCGCCCATCCAACCGCGAGAACGTGCTCCACCTCTTCCGCAACGGCGTGCTCCGAGTGCTGCTCGTGTCGCTCTCGCCCACGTGCACGCGTATTTTGTCGTGATTATGGGCACGCAGTCGTACGATGGCAAGGAGCACCGGTTTGTCGACTACCTGCTCGCAGACGTGCACCGCATGACGTGGTTTGCGAACTGGCCGCTCGAGGACCACAACGCCACGTGCACGGTGTTTTGCCGCTTCTACAAAAAGCTTCACGTGAGGTAGTCGACCGCGTCTTGCTCGCTCTCGATCGTCTTGGTAACCACCTCGGCGTTCACATGGTCGCTCAGAAAGTACTCGAGCTGCGACCATGTGAACGCCGAGGTGGTTACCAAGACGATCGAGATCGAGCAGGGCGCGGTCGACTACCTCACGTGGAGCTTTCTGTACCGGCGTCTGCTCACGCAACTATAATACCAGATGCACGGCAGCACCAACGTGCACCTCTCGGACGTGGTCGAGCGCACAGTCAACGGCCTCGCCGAGTCTCGCTGCATTGCGGTCGCCAACGAACTCGACCGCTCAACCTCGGGATGGTCGCTGCGTTCTGCTACGACTCGCAGGTCACGCCCCTTCGTGAAAAGGCCGTTGCTGCGCGCGCAAAACACCCAATTCACGACCATCGTTCAAGACCACCAATCTGCCGCTTTCGAAACCAGGACTCCAAGTACAAAACAGAAAACCCCTTTCCCAGTGGTCTAGAACCATCTCTGGGTCAGCTGGTAGTTCGTGATCTCATACAAATAGTAGCAACGGCCATGGCAGACAAGCCCACGGTGTACCCGGCGCTGCTCGCGCACGACGTGGTCGACGCCCACGCCGACCTCCTTCGCCGCGTGCAGCCGTCTGCGTAGCCGTGGCCGATGCGACGCAGCGACCGAGTCCGACGACTCGATGGACGAGCACGAGCACAAGCCGACTCCTGCGGCCGTCATCGACGCGGTTGACGAAGCCGTGTGCACGAGCCCGGCCGCGCGTTTCTGTGCGCGCTGCGAGCCGCGACCTCGTCGCACGTTGAGCGCGATCGACCTCGTCCTCGCCGCGCAGGTCAACGCAGTGCACTTGCTCCGTGCATTTTAGCGGCCGCCGACGATGGCGCCATCAACGCGCTGCAGTACCTCCTCGCGCGCAGCCCCAAGGCCCAGTGGGGCTCGATTGTCGACAACTTTGGCCGCAACCCGCTGCATTTGGCGATTGCGCACCGGCACGCGAGTGCTGTCGAGCACATGGTGTCGCAGCGGCCGCTGCTCTTGCTCGCGACGGACGCGTTTCAGCAGTCGGGCATGGAGCTCCTCTTGCACGAACTGCCACATGTGGTCTTGCGCCTCGTCCAGCAGCTCCCTGTCTTGCTGCAGATCTCCGACGACAAGAACAATACCTTCGCGCACGTGGTACGCCATCTATTATGTCAGAATGACAGACCTAACGTTGTTCTAGTTGTGCCGCGCGCTGCCGCCGACGGACTTTGCCGCGCTCGTCAACGTGCTGCCGCGCGTTATGTTTCTCACCTCGAACGACGACGACGAGACGCCCGTGATGCGCGCGTGCAAAGTCCGTCGGCGGCAGCGCGCGGCACAACTAGAACAACGTTAGGTCTGTCATTCTGACATAATAGATGGCGTACCACATGCGCGAAGGCGTGCCCGCTGCACCACATGCTAATGGCCACCTCCTCTTGCACGTCGGACGCTCCGTCGTGCTCGAGACCCCGGATCTCTTTACGTGTGCGATGCAGCATGGCCACGGCCTTGGTTTCACCATGCTGCATCGCACACGCAAAGAGATCCAGGGTCTCCGGCACGACGGAGTTTCAGAAATCGGCGTATCCCATTGGCTGACATATATCAAGCGCTTTTTAACACTTGGCTCTTTCGCGCACGATTTCCACACGTTGTCGACCTCCAATGACGACGCGAATGAGCGCGCTCTGCTCCCCAAAGGATCTTCTATCATCTTGGTATGTTGATGCGGGTGCGTCAAAAAACTTGATGATGGCCACGACGTCCCTCCAAGCCAGCAGAGTTTGTGTCTTGTCATCCCTGATTGGACAAAAATAAAATGAGCGGACCAATCCGATCGCTTGAACATGCGATCTCGGGAACCTGTGAAGTCAAGGCCACGCGCGCTCTTCAACACGGTGCTAGCAGGGACCGAACCGTTGCCGGTTGGTTGCCTGTCGCGTCGGCACCCCTATCCATTGCTGCATCGAGAAGTCTTCAAGTACAAGCGTTCATAAGCAAAGCAAATGCATTTTCAGTCATCTACACCCGCCTCTCCAATCATCGTGTTTAGTCGACCTTGATGGACGCGTAGATCTTCTTGTTGAACCAAAGCGACGCCATGACGCCAATCGTCCCCGTGAGGAGCGAGAGGGCACCCGAGACGATGCCCATGTAGCCAAAGTAGAGCATCGAGCCAATGATGTTGTGCACGTCGAGGCGCGTCCAGTAGTAGTACGTCGAGTAGAGCATGACGTAGCCGCCGCACGCGCCCGAGACGATAAACGACCGCCACCACCAGTTGTAGTCTTCGCCGCAGAGCTGAAAGTACGTGAGTACAATCGTGATCTCGGCGCACGTGCCAATCAAAATGACAAACGAGAGGAGGAGGAAGCCAAAGACGTAGTAGTACCGGTCCGTCCAGAGCGACGTGAGCACAAAGAAGAGCTCGACAAAGATCGCGCCAAACGGCAGGATGCCGCCGACCGCCGCCGTCATGACGTTGGTCATGTACCACGGCTGGAGCGGGATCGGGCGCGGAATGTTGCTCGTCGCGACCGGAAACTCGATGGCGGGCTGGCGGAACCCATAGTACGCGCCGAGGAAGACAAGCGGCACCGAAATGCCAAACCAGAGGAAGACCACGAGCAGCATCGAGCCAAACGGGACGGCGGCGTCCGAGCCCGCGCCCCACACAAAGAGGTTCAGGATGAAAAACGTCGCAAACATGATGCCGGGGAAGAGGACGCCGGTCAGCACGGTGCTGAGCTGCCAGCGCTTGCCCTTAAACATCTTGTACATGCGCGACGAGGCGTACCCCGCGACCATGCCCATGAGCACGAAGCACACGAGGAGCGCAATGATCATCTTGCCGCGGTTCGACGGCGCGAGAAACCCGATTGCGGCAAAGAGAAGGGTCACGAGCGCCATGCCGAGCAGCTGGAAGCCGACGCCGACCATGACACAAAACAGCATCGGCTGCGTCGACGGCGGGCGAAAGACGTCGGCGTGCACGAGCTTCCAGCCCGACTCTTCGCGCTCCTCCATGCGCTCCTCTTCGGTTGGCACGCGGTTGTAGCGCGAGATATCGCGGTGCAAGGAGCGCATGAGGATCATCCCGACCATGCCCGAGAGGAAGAGCACGATGAGGAGCGCGTTGATGATCGAGAACCAATGGACCTCGTCGCTGCCCGAGCCAACCTCAAAGTAAATGTCCCAGCGCGTGCGCCACTCGCGCGTATTGTCTTCGTTCCACTCGACGCTGTACGTCCAGTAGACCGTGGTTGTCGACTTGGCGTCTGTCGCCTCCTTGGTGTCGTCGTCCTTCGGGTTCGGAAGGTACAGCTCGGGATGCTCCTTTGTCGACGGGCTGCAAATGTCCATGCGCAACGGCTTCGAGTCCTTGATGGTGAACGATTCCTTGTAGTCGTAGCTGTACGGGATGACTTCAAAGTCGACGATGCGGCCTTGGTTGGGCGACGGCCCCGACGTCATGTCGACCATGTTGTTGTAGCTGATGCGGATCGTCACGTGGTTGTTGAGGCGCGGCGCCAGGTCAAACTCCTTGTTGAACGTGCCGAGCGGAAAGCCGAGCTCCGTCATGTCGTCGCGCTTGGACGAGACCGGGAGGTTGTCGACGATCCAGTTCATGCGGTACTGCTCCTTGATCATGGTCGCAAACTTCTTGATTTGCTTCTTCGTGTACGACTCGGTGCAGAGGACCTGGCACTGCTTGTTCTCGAGGAAGCGCAGCTCGTACGGCGAGTTTTCGATGCGGTTGGCGCTCAAGTACTCGCCGAGGTTCTCGCTCTTGTACTCGACTTTGGCCGGCGAGCAGAACGGGAGGTTATAGTACTCGATCGGCAGCAGCGTCTCGCGCGACGTCAGCGAGTTGACGAAGAGAGGGATCACGTCACCGCGCTCGTACGTGATCATCTGCACGCCCGGAAGGTAGAAGGCCTCGGCGACGGTCGCCGCCAGCGCCAGGACCACGCGCACCCACATGCTGCCAATTTCGAAAGTCCCGGCCCTCTGCAAGTCAATATGGGCCCTCACATGTGAAAAACTACATTTTACACGTGGCCATGGGCCAGCGCCACCGATACCAAGGTTTCTTGGACGCTGTCATGGATGGACCTCGTGCAGCACGGATAACGGAACGGACCTCTTGCAGCATGGATAACGCTCTTACAGACAAGATCCAAGGAGACCCATTGACTCTCCAAGAAGGGAAAGTACCAGGAACGACAAGTGGCCTGTCCTTGTGTCGACAGCTTGATGGGAAGGCTAGGAGGCTTCGAGCGTGTGCAGGCGACAAACGGGAGCGGCACTTGGAGAATTGCATTTGCAAAATGACTGATCCTAGTAGAGACACCGACGGGTGCGTAGGATGGGCACAAGATGCGGGCGACTGCGACGCAGAGTGGTAGCGCTCATTTTGATTGTACGTAGCCCGCTCGTGTCGCCGGGCTGGGTGGCACTTGAACTGGGTTGCTGGCGCTTGGGTGAATGCGAACGACCATTGTTGTAGCCCACTGGTTGTAGCCATCGACATGCTGCTAACGTGCACCGACTTCTTCAAACGACGAAGAACCACCCACGTGATCTGAGCAAACGACCGTATGTCTGCATGATTGGTTTGCAGAAAGGTTTGATCGACTACCTCGGACGACTAGCGACGTCGAGCTTGGACGCGCACTGCGCGGGACGCTGGCGGCGCGAGCCAAAGCAGCCACGCGCCACGCGCGACAGGTGCCGAGTGAGGTGATGAATGTGTGTTTTACTGTATTTTTCACGCCACGTGGCCACGTGGAGCCGTTTCCGGCCCGTGGCGAACGGTACACCTCCGAAACTTTATATTTGGATCCGCCGAGCGCGATGGCAGCAGACCACACAAGTCACCATGAGCCTCGCATGGCGCTCGCAGACGCTCTCGTCGCTCTCGGCGGCAGATATCTACAAGATCCTCCAGCTGCGAGCCAACGTCTTCATCGTAGAGCAGAACGGCGTCGTCTTGGACCCGGATGGGCTTGACCTGCTCGAGTCGTGCCACCACGTCATGGGCACGGACGCAACTGGCGGCCTCATGGCCTACGCGCGTGTACTTGGCCCTGGCACAAAAGGCCCAGCGCAGACCGTTCCCTTGATTGGCCGCGTCGTTGTTGCCAAGGTGGCCCGCGGTACGGGCCTCGGACGCCAGGTCATGCAAGAAGCTGTCGCGGCCGCGCAGCGCGCATACCCGGGGCAAGGCTGCCAGCTCGGCGCGCAAGCGTACCTCGAAAAGTTCTACGACAGCCTCGGCTTTGTGCGTCTTCCGGGCTCGGAGCCCTACGATGACCATGGCATCCCGCACATCGACATGAAGCGCGAGTAGTTGTTGATGGATGTTTCTAACAACGTATTGTGCATCACTTTGTGCGAGTACGTTGCGTACGACGAGGTTCGATGTGGGGACCTCAACATGACCGTTTGTTTCCATCCGCGAGGGTTGTCATCTTGATACGACATGTAGCTGGGCAACACGGACGACGGCGCGCTGGTAAACTGAACCAGGGCATTTTTGTACAGGCATGATGAATGTCCTAGATCCAGCTATTCCCACTGCACTGGAACCAGCTACATACATCGCTCTCTCGTAGGTACATCAGACACTGCGGCCGCCAACCCCCTTGTGTTGTGACGTGGTAAACAAGCAAAGCACAGCACGAGATTCCATTAGGGCTAGGGCATGCGCATCCTTGATGTCTGTCTACTCGGCCGCCGCGTCGGAAGCGTCGCGGACCATGTCCATGTGCTCGACGCTGTAGTGCATGTACGGCGCCGACGTGACGCGAAAGCCAAAGTCCTCGTAAAACGATCGCAAATACGACTGCGCGCCGATCTCGATGGCTTCGTTTGGCCACCGCGCTCGGCACTCGGCGATCGCGCGCGTGACGAGCGCCTTCCCGAGGCCTTTGCCGCGCGCACTTGGTGCCGTGAGGACGCGTCCGATCATCGGTCGTTGCTGCGTTGCGTGCTTGGCGCCTGGCCCGAGGAGCCGCGCGTAGGCCATGATGCTGCCCTTCTCCGAGAGATAAAAGAGGTGCAGACAACGCTTGTCGACGTGGTCAAGATCCAAGTACGCACTCTCTTGGCCGACGACGAAGATCGCGCAGCGCAGGTGCAGAATGTCGTACAAGGTCGACGCCGAGAGCTCGTCAAACGGACAGCAGACCCACGACGACATGACGGGATGGTGGGGTTTCTAAATGTGGCCTGTGGATGGCCTCGTTTGTGTGGACCAGACGGCGGCGGACGTTTTCCAGAACTCAAACCTGCTGTTGCCAATGCGCTTTTTGTCGCCGTTGCTTGCGGACACAGTGTCGGGGACTGGCGATTGGCGTGACGGGTTCCAGTCACGCGGTCGCCGCGACATGCTACGCCAGCGAGAGACTCTCTGGCGCTCGCTGTCACGACACCTATGATCGTCAAGCTGCAGAGTGGAGAAGGGAAGAATACAATAGTGGAGAGCAAGTTCTCTGTGTTATGTGCGGGGAATATCGATGGCCGAGTCGCGCACCAGCAGATTCCAATACTCTACAACCACGCATTGGAAACAAGAACAAGGATCTAGACCAATCCCGTACTGACGTTTCTAGGCTAGGCAATAATGTGGCCGATGCGCATTATGAATACACTAGTATTTCCCCACCGCCGCCTGGAGTGTGTGCGTGGAGTTGGAACAGTTCATGGCTTGACATGTGAGGAAGCACCGAAAATGCTGGTATCAAGCGATTGGATTGGTCCGCTTGAATTCTTTTTGGCCAATAACAGGCGACACGACGCATGCCGCACTCGCTTCGAGGGGATGCGAGGGCCACATCAAGTTTTGGCGCACACGCATCAACTTCGCAAGATGATAAAGGACCTTTCGGGGAGCAGAGCGCACCAACTCATGTCGCCATTGGAGGTCGCCAACGTAAAAAAGTCGAGCGGAAAAGAACAGATGCGTTAAAAAGCGCTTGATAAACGTCAGCCAATCCAATGCGCCGATTGTCAATTCAAGAAACGATCCAAACGTTCTACCGTCTCAACCGGCAGCAGCTCTACCGTTCTGTCAGATACTAGATCTTGTCAGGCGGTGTATTACCACCATGAGTTTCTTTTTATGTGGTCCATCGTCAAGCTACTTGATCGACCAGCAGCGTCCGCGGCCGTGAGCCAGACCCGTGTTGCTCGAACCATGGCATACTCACATCAGCCACTTGACATTGTGATCCAACAGCACTCGACAACAGCCAAGTGCGTAGCAAACCTACTTGTCTGTTTCTTGCATCGTGAATGATACAGACACTGTTTAATTGAATTTGCTTTTAGTCGAAACCAGTGCAGAGTCGCTACTGCTGGACCGTCATTTCCTCGAGGAGCGCGAGGTTGCGCGCGATGCCCGAGACGCCGCTGATGAGGCAGTTGAGGAGGAGGAGCTCTTCCATCGAGACGTTTTCGAACCGGTTGTTTTCCATGAGCCACGCTGCGTACGATCGGCGCATCGTGGCGGCCGCTTCCAGCAGCGAGAATGTCTCGACGTCGAGAATGTCGTGGGCGCGGCACAAGGCTTCCTCGACCGGCAAAGGTGCCGTCGAGTTGTCGACGCCAGGCGACAAGACCGGGATCACGTCAATGACGTCCACGGTCACGGACGCTTCGGTAATCGGCGCCAACACGGTTCGGTGCAAGCCGGGCGTCGGCATGTCGGGCGCGCGGTGTTGGAAGACCTCGACTTCGAGCTTGAGGCCGTTCTCAAGAGCTTCCATAAACTCCTCGAACGACACCTTGCCGCTCTTGTCCTTGTCGACAATGTCCATGAAATCGGCCACGTACTCGTCGATTTCGTCGATCTTCATCGCTCCTGACTGCCGAAACACGTGCTGCAGCATCGTCTTGACCTCGTCGGCGTCAATCTCGCCCGAGCAGTCGGTGTCGGCGAGCCGGAAGGCTTCCTTCATCTGCATGAAGAGCGCGGTCTGGTCGGCGTCGGCGTACCGAAAGTCCTCGCCAAAGAGCGAGTGCAGCGTATCAAACGTGTCGTGGATCGCAGCGCCAAGCTCCTTGGTGGAGAAGGCCCACGTCTCTTTTGGCGTCGCATTGTCTTCGAGCTCGGCGAGGCTGTTGCGGTCGAGCGGTCGAGCGACAAGCGACGAGGGCTCGATGCTGAGGCGGCGCGGGCCTGGCTCCGTGTGCGGATTTGCCTTCCGAAACTGGAACCACGTCACGAGCTTGTACAAGATGAGCGTGTTGTTGAGGAGCCGCTGGCAGCCATCGAGAACGCGCTCGTACTTTTGCTGCGAAAACTTCGGTCGCCACAAGAGCGGCTCCAAGTTGGCTTCGCGCAAGAGCGCTTTCTGCTCGATGAGGAGCGCCGGCGCCTGCGTCTCGACCACGTTCTGGATGTCGCGCATCTTCTCGTCGTCAATCGACCCGTTCGCGCTCAGATTTTGCTCAAAGAGCGTTGTGAACGCGGTCTGGACCAGCTTCATTTGCTTCTGCACGTTCTCGCGCAAGAGACCGATCGCCGACTGGGGCCAAAAGCAGAGCTCGACCATGATGAAGAGGATGATGCCCAGCGACATCTGCGCGAGGTTCGAGTACGACGACATGGGCATCGTCGCCGTGCCCGAGCACGCGCAGCCTTTCAAGAAGATGCCGGCGGCCACGTACGCCGAGACCAGCCCCGCGTACGACTCGAAGCCGCCCTTCCACTTGATGTACAGCGAGAATGTGACCCAAACAAAGAGAAAGAAGTTGCTGATGCCAATGACCATCGCTTGGCTCACGCAGCCGTACGAGCAAATGAAGAAGAGGATCACGGACGGTATGATGGAGCCGGCGACGACGCCGCCGACACGGTTGAGCGTCACGCTGAACGAGCCGCCTAAAAGCAAGCGCGTATGAGTACAACAAAACACAAGCACACATTGATACCGATGTGGTTGCCCATGACGTAGGCGATCGTGGTCGCGGTCGTCGCCGAGTAGGCAAAGACGTACACGGAGAGAAAACAGCCGACGAGGATCGCGCTCCAGACCTTGACGCCAGTGATGAACTTGACTTTGGTGTACTTGGCCGGGTCTACGAACGCGCCCATGGACTTTTTCAAAAAGTTGCGGACGCGCGACCCCTATTGCCCAGCATGAGCATTTGGCGTTGGAGATATTTTCCGACCGTGTTGTGTGTTTTCTTGTTGAGTTTGGACTGAAACTCCATCATGGTGGCGCAAAACGACTGGAGCGAAAAGAGAAAGAGGTTGAGTGGGATGTTGCCCTCGACGTCGGCGACCGTCGGCTTCTCGCGCAGGTAGATCTTGGTCTGCGTCTTCTGGAAGAGCTGCAGCAAGCTCTCCATTTGACGCTCGAGCTCGTCGATTTGCGTCAAATTCAGGTCTACCCAAGCATGATCAATGCGCGGTCATCGATGCAGCATAGCATACCTTTGTGCACGAGGTGGATTTCGTCCGAAATCTCGTGGAGCGCGGCGGCCGACTTGAGCTGCACGACGTACACTTGCCGCTGCAGCTTCTTCATAAAGAGCTCGTGGAGCCGTTCGTAGCGCTCGAGGTGGATCGCTTGGTTCATCGCGCGGAGGTTGTCGATGAGCGACGCATACAAGTCGATGTACGGCTTGGTGACGGACTTTTGAAACTTGAGCGCGTAGTGCAAGCCGACGCTCTGCTCCCACCACACGTCGTTGAGGAGCGCGTACATGGTGTCCTTCTTCGCGACCGCCAAGTCAAACTTGCGTTGGAGTTTGAGTTTGAGAAAGTTCATGTGGTCGACGTCCTTGTTCTTGAAGCAGTACGAGTCGACAATCAAATTGAGAAGGTCCTGGATCGTGTCGGCCGCCGATTTCGTTCTTTTTGGAGCGCGCGGATCGCACTAGGCATGTCAGCATGAGTCATCCCCGTTACATATCATTTTCGGGTCTACAAGATTGGGTACGGAATCCAGAGCACGAGAAACGCGACAAATGCGCCGAGGACGCCGAGCCACATGTACACGAAGAGGTTCATGAGGATGTAGTCGGTCGAGTAGTACGGGTCGCCGAGGTGCTTGAGCGTCGACGCGTCGTTAAAGTCGTTCGGGCTCACAATCGTCAGCGCAAAGTACAAGTTGTTGCCCATGGCAAACTTTTTCGTGTTGGTTTCCTGCATAACATCGCAGTGAGCCGCAGTGTCGGATGCATTCGATAGACATACGAACGGAAGAAGGAGCACGATCGCGTTGAAGAGCATCACGAAAGGCAGGACAGTGAAGAAGTCGTGGTTGTTGACGTAGTACGGCGTGCCGCTGAACGACTTGTTGATCTGGAGAAGCGTGCCATCGGCCATCGCCAAGGCAACTAGAAAGCAGCGTTTTTACGAGGCGAATGCATGGGACGACAGATATCGTACCTTCGTCGTTGGTGTTGAAGACGCGCGGCGTCATGACGCTGAAGAGAATGCAGTTGAAACAAAGGCCATTCCGACGCCTGCGACTTGCTGAAACATCTCGCGGACGGTCGCGCCAATGTTCTTGCCACAGGAAAAGATGCACGCAACGGCCACGTAGCTGATGCCACCGAGGATGTACCAGTCGGGAAAGAGCGCCCAGTACTTGGGATGGACGTCGCTTGTGTCAACGTTCGGGTTCTTGGTCTGCAGCATGGATGCGACGAGGACGCCGCACGCGGTGCGCACGGCGAGCTGCAGGTTCATCTTGAACTCGGCTACACCAGACAGGCGGTCAGTCCGAACTCGATCATCGTGCGGTATACAATCGCCATACCTCGTGACCGGGCTTCGGCGCCAAGCGCGCGCCGCGTACCCATGTTGATGCGCAGCTTGCCGTGCGCCTCTTCTTCGGGCCGGCTCATCTGGCGTGAGATCGTGCTCTTGCCCCGGCTGATGATCCGGCGCTTGGCCTTGGGCGTATCACCCGCGTGGAAGCTGAACGTGCTCTGCTGCTTTTCATAGTTTAAGGTCGTCGTCGGTGATGTCTGTTCGCTCCTACGTCATCGCATGAGGTCGTCGTCGTCGCCGTCCATGAGCAGTTCGTACATGGGGTGCTGCTTGGGCTTGAGCGCAAATTGGAAACTGCCAAACTTCGAGCAAAAATTACTTCGACAGCGGTGGCCAATGGCAGGCGTACCAGATGATACATCGCCTCTGATTGGCGTATTTTTCGAAGATCGCACCCCACGTGTTCGATCGGAAAGGGCTTGTCGCGGGGGCGGACCTATGATGGGCATCTGAATGGGCATGGCGTATGCGACTGCAGCTGCTAGCAGCTAACGTGCGAATGGCGCCAGGCCAAGCCGTTGCCTGATATGCTTGGTCGGCATGCACGACGAGCTTGCCGAAGCCCAACCGTGGCACAGCAGGGTGGGACCATCCGTTGGCGGCGATGTACACTTGGCATCTCCGTACCTCTTGAGCTGAGCCTACGTGCACAAAGAACAGCGTTTGCATGCTAATACATGCCTCCGTCACCTCATCGTGCCCGAGGGACTGGTTGAACACATCTCCTTATTCCCAACCACCCGAGCCCGGCGCTTTGATGCGCCAGAGTACCCTTGAACCCTGCAAACCCCGTTGGGGTAATCCACGGGATGACAACCAATGGGGCCAACCCCTTTGGACCATCTGTTCTGTGTGCATTTACCTACCAGTAGGCGGTTCGCTTGACGATGCATAAACGTGGGCACGGCGCACGTGCGGCAACACGACAGTGGGTGCGAAAGCACTGGCGTAGTCGTAGTATGCTTTGACCACGCAAGTTCTATTATTACGATGGATGGGACGCTCACCACGCGAGCCGAAGGCCGTCGTACGCCATCTCGACGCCGAGCTGCTTGGCAGCAACAAACTCGGCGAGCATCGGCGGTGGGCTGTGGTAGTTGAACTGGTGACTCATGCCTGTGAGGTAGCTCTGCTTGGGCCTGAGCACCGCGATGGTCTCGAGCGCTTGGATCAGATTCATGTGCGTGCCATGAAACTGCTCGGGGTGGAGCGCGTCGATGAAGAGGACGTCGATGGGTGCTGCCTGCAAGACGGCCATGGCGTCGTCGCTGATCGCGCTCAGATCCGAGAGGTACGCGATGCGCTTCCCGACTTCGGCGCCGAAGATGAAGCCGCTCGCAACGTAGTCCTTGCCGTGCCAGAGCGGCAGCGCCTGGATGCGCACGCCGCGCCCGACCTCGAACGTCTCAAAGTCTTCGAACAGCTGCCACTGCAACTGCGCCGTCCAGCGGCCTCCGGTATGCTGGGACTGGAACAAGTATGAAAACTTGGCCTCGACCTCGTCCTTGGTGCGCTGGTGGCAGTGGATACCGAGCGGCTTGAGCGCCTTGGTCTCGGCGTCGATCTGCTGCACGTCGCGAAGGTCGTCGAGGCCAAAGCACGCGTCGGCGTGGCCATGCGTCAAGACGACAGCGTCGATCGCAAACGGACTGTGCTGCGGGTGTGCACGCAGGAGGCTGTCCCGGAACGTCTTGCCGCAGTCGATGAGCACGGTTTGGCCCAAGAGGCGTACGAGGAGACTCGGGTTGTTGCGCCGGTTCTTGGACACGGGGTTCGCGAGCGCTTCGGGGCACACGGGGCACGCCGGGTTGGTCACGAGGCAGCGCACGACAGGCACGGACGACGACGGCCCACTGCCGAGGACGACGATCTCGAGCTCTGGCATCGTTGCGGGCGTGGTCGAGAAGGCGCGGGACAGGCGGCGCAGCATGCACCTGCTTGATCGTCGCACGAATATTGATTGCGCTCGCGCTCCGATTTCGGGTCCATGTCAGGCGCAGAATAGAGTGTGCAATATGCATTTGGCATACAGCGATCGAGTAAATTGTAATTACATACGAATATCGAGTCTATAATATGCAAACGACCTGTGCTCTGCATGTCCCCACGAAGCTCAGCGTCGATTGGCCTCGAGGATAAAAACACGCCGTTTAAAGTGAATAGCTGGACTATCATGCATCGCACAAGTACATGCGGCCTTGGTGGCTACGGTTCAATGTGCCCTGCACTGCATGGTACTGATATGCCGGGGTCTCGAAGAGGAAGGTACCATAAAGAGTGCCGCATAGCGCCGTACCGTTGGGTGACAATAGACGAAGGATTGCAGTCGGACCGCATATTTCCGCACGACGTAGCCAATCACAATGGAGTTTTGGCGCTCGTTCCGTATTTTACGCGATCGCGACCGTTCAAACCTACAGTTGCTAGCCACAGGTATGGAGATCATCTTCCTCGGGACAGGGACGTCGACGGGCGTCCCGTCGATGCAATGTCTTCTCAGCGGTAAGAACTGCGCCGTGTGCCACCACGCCCACGCGGTGCCGGGCTCCAAGAACCGGCGCAACAACCCGAGCCTCCTTGTGCGCTACGGCGGCCGGAACGTGCTCATCGACTGCGGCAAGACGTTCCGCGACAGCATCCTCAAGGTCTTCCCGGCGAAGAACATTGTGTCGCTGGATGCGATCGTCCTCACGCATGGCCACGCCGACGCGTGCTTGGGCATGGACGACCTCCGCGAGCTGCAAGTGTTCCAGTCGACGCGCTGCGCCGAGACGGGCGAAGACAAGAAGATCGCGAACGAGCCCATGTACGTGCACTGTCACGCACGCACCAAGGCCGAGGTCGGGCCCAAGTTTGACTACCTTATGCTCAAGCCATCGGAAGCCGAAGCGATCACGTACCGCTGGACGGCCAAGCTCGACTGGAAGCTCTTCGAGGACCTTGACTCGTTCATCGCAGCGGGCGTCACGTTCACGGCGCTGCCGGTTGCGCACGGAAAAGGGTACCTTTGCAGCGGGTTCGAGTTTGGCGCAGACGTGGGTGCGCGCTTTGTGTATCTCTCGGACCTCCACGAGCTCCCGGACGCGACGCGGGCGCACCTTCTCGCCAACCCTTCGCCCATTGACGTGCTCGTCATTGACGCCATCTACTTGCACGATGTGCATGGCGCGCACCTCAATCTGCCGCAGGCGATTGAGATTGCCAAGCTTTTGCGGCCCAAGAAGACGTACCTTGTGGGCATGAGCCACGAGTTCGACTACGACGTGCACAATAGCACGATCCACGCCGACATGCTACGCGACGCCAACCTCGACGTCGAGATGGCATACGACGGCCTCGAAGTCGTGCTTGGCCACGCCTAGCGTCGCTTGTAGAGAAACTTTGTGCGATGAAAATGCGTGTTGGGATTTTCTCCTTCTACTGGTCGACGTGGGTCAGCTAGCGTCTACTACAGCCGATAGAGCTTAGGCTGATGTGGTTGGCGGGTGGCGAAGCATGTCGATGGCCTCGATGCCGTCTTCAGTGTAGAGCTCGGACGACTGTACAAAGCCGAGCGACGAATAGAACGGTGCCAAGCGGGCTTGGGCGTTGAGGAGGATTGGAGTGTTGGGCCACGAGTGGTCGCACGCTTCAATGGCTTTGGTCATGAGGGCTTTGCCGACGCCCGACCCGCGATGCGCAGGCGCGGTCACGACGCGGCTAATGACCGCGTGCACCTGCGTCGGGCTCTTCGTGCCAGGCCCGAGCAGCCGCGCATATGCTGCGACCGTGTGGTCGTCTTCGGCGGTGCCGATGAGGTGCAGACACGTCGGCGCCTTGTCGACGTTGTCCGCGTCCAAGTAGGCGCATCGCTGCTCGACGACAAAGACGGCGCAGCGGACGTGAAGAATGTCGTAGAGCGTGGTCGCCGAGAGCTTGGCGAACGGCTTGCACACCCAGTTGATGGCCGTCATGGCGTTTAGTCCGAATTGAGCGCTGGGCGCTCGACCACAAATACGTTCGGCACCATTCGACGCTCGTCTTGGATCTATGCCACCCACGCCACCTGCAGCCACCACCTGCAGCCACGCCACCTGGACGATCCAGCAGGGAGGATGATGACACCCCCGACGTGCACTCTGGCCTGCCCGATGAGTGTCCTTTATTTTTAGCCAATCAGCAATGGCGATACTCTGACCGTGGTCATTTTCAAATTGGCCATGGTGCACCGCTGGGTCTGCAAGCCGTTCGCAGAGCTCTCAGCCTCGCAGCTCTACGACATGCTGGCCGTGCGCTGCGAGGTCTTTATCGTCGAGCAAAAGTGCGCCTACTTGGACGCGGACAACGTCGACAAGCTCCCGACCGTCTACCACTTGGCCGCGCTGACCGACGACGGCGCCGTCATGGCCTACGCCCGCCTCCTCGGCCCTGGCACAAAGGGTGCGTCGCAGCAGCTGCCCATGATTGGGCGTGTTCTCACGTCGCCCAAGCACCGCGGTGGCGGTCTTGGGAAGCAGCTCATGCAGGAAGCGATCGCCGAGTGCTCGCGGCGATGGCCGGACAAAGGCATTGAGATTAGCGCTCAAGTGTACCTCGAAGCCTTTTACAAGTCGCTCGGCTTTGCGGTCACGTCCGAACCGTACGACGACGATGGCATCATGCACATGGACATGATCCGTCCGCCGTCGCACTAGCTGCTTCGAGACATGTAGCAGTCGTAAATGCATTCCATGTACGTTTACAGCACACGAGTTGACGTCCATGAACCTCTGTTGCTCTCGCGAGATGCATAGATACCGTGCGAGTATGCAGGCGCCGCGACTGGTTTGAACTGCTTGGTGGTGCACGTGTGATGGTGTCCGGACATGAGGAGCTTCCCCAAGAAGGTCCTTCGCGCTGGACTCTTCCCTGCTGGTCATCAACCCCGAAACATGCTTGCAAACCCACGTCCAATTCGCCGGCGTCGGTGACGCCACATGCATCGTACGTGTGGAATGCATGTCATGACAGAGATTGAAAATGCTGGCGGTCTCTCGAGCGTCGCGCAAGCCAAAATAACCTTGAAGCCAAGTCCTCGAAGTTCAACACCAAACTTCGAGGGCACGCTGATGTGCATTTCGAAAAAGCCTCCGACAAGTGCAAACTGCCATGGTGGACAACGGTCTCACGGGCGGCAACTTGGACGCACTTCTCTCGCAGCACGCGGCTGGTATCGCAGAGCTCAAGGCGCTCGTCAAGGACGTCCTGACGCCCGCGCACGACGACGTCTGGCTGCTGCGGTTCCTCCTTAGCAACGGCAGCCCGGCCGCGAGCGAGGAACCAGTCCGGTTCACGATCCAATGGCGGGCCGAGCGCAAGGACGCACTCGAGCGCGTCAAGCAAGGCGGAAGGCGCCGTACTTTGCTGAAGTGAGCAAGTACCAAGTACGTTTCTCGAATGCGAATGTGCTTGCTTGGTGGTAATGGTAGGACCGTCGTCCTAGGTGGTGGGCGACCACAAGTTCACGACGCTGGGCGAGCCGATCTTTTACGTGCGCATTGGCCTCTGCAACCCACGCGCGCTCATGGACAATGTCTCGTACGACGCGGTGGTCGAGAACATGATGCTGTCGCGCGAAGCCACGATGGTGTACCTGGACGCCAAGTCGCGCGAGACACGGACGCTGCTCAAGGCCATTACGATCTTGGACTTTAACGGCTTCTCGCTGCTCCGGGGCAACGACGCGCGCTTCTCCAAAGTCCTTGGTGACACGAGCAAGCTCTCGGAGAAGATGTACCCGCAGGTGCTCGGCCGCACCATCTTTGTCAACACGCCCGCGATCTTTTCGTTTTGCTTTCGCCTCGTCAAGCCGCTCATGAGCGCCCGCGCAGTCGCCAAGATGGTATTCTGCCCCGGCGGCAAGCAGCTGAGCGACTGCCCGTATGTTGCCAAATACTTGAGGCTCTCGGACCTCCCGACGTTCCTTGGTGGCCAGTGCACCTGCGACGGAGGTGGCTGCATCGGCGGCATCCCCAACTCGCAGACGACGCCGCTCACCAGCGTCGACGACGACGGCCTCGCCTCCATGACGGTCGCCGCGCGCTCAGTGCAGTCGCTTGATATTGCCATCAAGAAAGGACGCGTCTTCGAGTACACGCTCGGAGTGCCCGGGAAGCGCGTGGAAGTGAGCGTCGCGTTCAAGAGCACCGAAGACGGCAAGGCGATCGACATCTTTCCAAAGCAATTCCTCGATAACACAAGTGGGCTCGTCGACGGCGTGTGGCCTGCGCCGGCGGACGGCGTTGTCACCGTCGTGTTTGATGCCAACGATGCCGTCTTCCGCGGGCGTCAAGTCCAGTACAAGGTCGAGGTCGTCGACGACCCCAACGATGCCTAAGGCGCACCATTAGTCGATGCGTTCTATATCACAATCATGCCACTCGCCCTTCTTCGTTTCTGCAACCAGAACTGAGCGCCTGAGAGTTCCCGCCTTGCTTCATTGCGTCGTGATCCCACTTTGCACGATGACGTGATCCGATATCGAAGTTCGAAGCCTTCTATATTTTTTGGATTCTCGTCGACGATGATGACCGATGGCACGTCCGGCGGCGACTTGGACGCACTCTTGGCGGCCCGTGCTAGCGAGCTCGACACACTCAAGGCGCTGGTAGGCGACGTCCTTACGCCTGTGCACGACGACGTCTGGCTGCTGCGGTACCTCCTTAGCAATGAGACGCCGGCCGCGTGCGAAGCCCCGATCCGGTTCACGATTCAGTGGCGGGCCGCGCGGGCCGACACGATTGCCGCGCTGCACGCTGGCGCCAAGCCCGCGCTTTATGCCGAGATTGAAAAGTACTTGGTGCGCGAACCTGAGAAAGTACTTTGGCGCATCATGGTTGGCGATCCTAGGTGGCTGGCGACCACAAGTTGACGTGTCTCGGCGAACCGCTCGTGATCGTGCGCATTGGCCTATGCAACAGCAAGGCACTCATGAACAACGTCGCGCACGAGAATGTGGTCGAGTACATGATGCTGGCACGGGAGGCGACGATGGTGTACCTGGACGCCAAGTCGCGCGAGACGCGGACGCTGCTCAAGGCCATCACGATCTTGGACTTTTGCGGGTTTTCGCTGCTCCGGGGCCACGACGCACGCTTCTCGCGCGTCCAGGGTGAGTGCAGCAAGCTCTCGGAGCAAATGTACCCGCAGCTTCTCGGCCGAACCATCTTTGTCAACACACCGGCGATCTTTTCGTGGGTCTTTAAGCTTCTCAAACCGCTCCTGAGCGAACGAACGATCGCCAAGATGGTCATCTGCCCCGGCGGCAAGCAACTGAGCGACTGCCCGTACGTCTCGACGTACTTGAAGCTCTCGGACCTCCCGACGTTCCTTGGTGGCCAGTGCACTTGCGACGGGCGCGGCTGCATCGGCGGTATCCCCAATTCGCAGACGACGCCGCTCACCAGCGTCGACGACGACGGCCTTGCCTCCATGACGCTGGCACCGCGCTCGACGCAATCAATCGAGCGCTCAATTGCCACCGGGTGCGTATTCGAGTATACCCTCGGTGTCCCCGGCAAGCGGGTTCTCGTGAGCGTCAGCTTTACAGGTCGGGACACATCGACGGTGCTACCGATTCTGCCGGCGCAATTTCTCGACCAAGCGACCGGGTGCATCGATGGCGTGTGGTCCTCGCCCTCGGACGGCGTGATCACGATCCGCTTTGATGCCAACGACGCCGTCTTCCGCAGCCGCGACGTGCAGTACAAGGTCGACGTTGTCGCGTCGTCGTTCTGAATTTTGGTTTCCACCAGAAGTGGACTGATGTTACCACTTTGTTTTGGGGCGATTCCTATCGTGCTATTTTAGACTAGAGAAAAAGAAAGATCGAAACGTGTTCAAGCCCGTGCAAAACGAGCATCGTGGCAACAGCTAGCGTGTCGGCCAATCACCGTCCTTTCTGGGCGTAAAACGCTCGTTCATTGGTGGATTCGCATGACACGCAAGTTACCGTCTATTTGTGGTACTTCAACTCAGACAACCGCCGAGAAAGGCCGAGCTAGGATCAGTTGGGAAGCGCCGCCCGATGAAAACTGCGTACGTGCTATGCACGTGGCTCCTGCACATTCCATGCGTGGTGGTGTGTAGAGCAAAGGTGCGACCGGCGTTGGCCCGCCGTCTCTGCGGCTTCTTCCAGCAACCACCACGAAGCGACGGTGGCTCCAAGAGCCAAGAGCCCATTGACGCTCACAGCGGCGTCCGCATCGAGATGACTGGTCGCAAGCGACCCGCGTCGTCGATTGCTGTGCCAGGTAGACGACATGTCGATGCACACGCCATCACCAAGAAATGGTCTAGCGAGCTTCAAGTTCAACTTGGAGCTAGGGGCGCGCGCGGGGGCCGGTGTCATTGTGGCGTCGATCTTTCAGACCGCGTACACGGGCCCGGCAAATGGCGATGCGGCGTACCCCCAGCTCTACTACTTCTTCCCGTCCTGGTACATTCTGGGCGGCGTGAGCTACATTGCGATCGCGATGATCTTCTCGCTCGGCACCAACGTGGGGTCGACGATCCGCGAGACGTTCCAAGAGACGCTCGGCGTGGTCATTGCATTTGTGTTCAACATTGTCGTCTTTGCGTGCTTTACGCCGCGCGTGTACCACTCGGCCGACGACGGTACGCGCGTTGAACTATTGCATCTGTCCTATTGAGCACTCGGCTAGTCGCAAACAGTCTGGTTGACGGCACGCTCGTGCGGATCGAGCACGCGTTTAACGGCATCCCCTACTACGTGACGCCGGCTGATTTTTACACCATGCTGCCGTGCATCATTCTGTTTACGATTGCGATCGTCATGACGCCACTGGTATAGTTTATCATGCTAAATCGGTGGCCTTTAGAAGAATATGATAGGAAACCATCACCAAGAAGCTTGCAGTCGGCAACAACATCTACTTTGCGTTGACGCTCATCAACCCCAACAACCCGAATGACAACGCGCACCTCAAGCCCTACAACGACCCGATGCTCGCCACGTCCAACATCTTTCGAAACCTGTTCGTGTACCTGCTACTCGGCGTCCTTGGCGGCCTCATTGCGCTCGTCGTGATGCTGCTCCCTTACCCCATCTTGTACACCATTCTTTTTGTCTCAACACCCATGTATTGATATTGATCTTTGGAAATAGTGCGATCCGCCGACTGCGCGCCGAGATTCAGTCGGCGACCACGGTCCTCGCCGAGCTTCTGCATTTGATGGTTGACGCCTACTGCTTTCGGCGCCAGACAAGCCAGCACACGACCCGCGTTGCCTTTGAAGTCAGTCGAAGATTGGCCGACGCCGAAGCCAAGCAGGCGCGCATGGAGGCGCTGCTTGACGACGTGTGGTGGGAGCAGAGCGTCGGCCTGCACTTTCTCTTCCCGATCCGAACATCGATTATCAAGCCGTTTCTGGGCCTCTACGCGAATCTCCTCGACGACCTCCGTGCTATGAGCGACGCTGTGCAAAATGGACGCCACGGCACCTTCCATTCTCTGGTCGTATCGCACGTGCCTAAGGACGTCTACCTCGTTCAGACGAAATCCGTGCGGGCGCTTGACGCGATCGCATCCGACATTCTGGGCAATGCCCGAGGTATTATGAATCCATTTCTTTGGATGCTGCGTATGCATTATGCACGCGTAGTGCTGTCGACGGACGCGGTGGACGAGGTGCGGACGGCCATGACGGCGCTCTTGCAAGCGGCGCATGCAGCCCACGTGGAGTGCTGCGAGGCCGCCACGTCAAGCGACATTGAGGACGCGATGACGTGCTACCTTTTTCTTTTTGCGCTCGAGTCGTACTGCGAGACGCTCTGCACCTTTCCACGCGCGTTTAACCAGCTCCAGCACAACACCGTACCACCACCGATCTTCGGACCGACGACGATACAACGATGAGGAGTAGGGACTCCGTGCGTGGAAGTTTCTACAGCGCTGGTGCCGTCGCATGCTCGACCCGACGCAGTACACCAAGCAGAACTTCCAGATCGGTATCAAGGTCGCTTGCGCTGTCGTGTCGGGCAGTGTCTTTGCCGTGTACGTCTTTGGGTTCTCGCCGACGGCAGCGTCGGCGCTCGCCTACCTCTGGGGCAGTCACGTTGGTACCGACGTGCCTTGTGCTGGGGTCTGTGGCGAGCTATCGGTTTTTTCTTGTAGGGGGCTCGTTCAGTCGGACGGCCAACCGCGTCGGGGGCGCCGTCGCCGGCAGCATTGTGCCGTCCGTGTGCCTCTTCCTCATTTGCAGCTACGGGTGCACTTCGTCGACGACGGCCACGATTCTGCTCGATAGCGTCATGTTTGTGTGGGTGACCATGTCCATGTACATTAGCCTCCAAAACCATGCGTGGTCCTATGCAGGGTTTGTCTCGGCGTACGTCTCCAGCGGCGTCTTCCTCAACGGCTGCAGCTGCGGTGCGACTATTGTTGCGCCCATCTCGTCCTACGCCAATTTGGCCCAAGTGTCGCTTGGCATCGTCTTCTTCATCCTCATCGAATGGCTCCTCTTTCCGCAAAGTGCGACGGCGCTTCTTCGCAGCAACATCTTGACGCAATTGCAGCTGCTCCAAACAGCCTTCCACACGCTCTTCGAGGGCACCGTGGCAGCCAATGGGGACGTCCCAACGCTCGTGACCATCGAAGAGATCGTGATGAAAACGCTGCCATCGCTCCTTCTTGCTACACCGGGTCTGCTCACCGAGGCGCAGTACGAGCCACGGCTTTGGCGCCCTCCGTTTCCAATCACCAAGTTTGCGGCCGTCTGTGACGGCGTGAAGCGACTCCAGCACCATACGCGCGTCATGTTCAAGCTCGCAAAATGGTTCCAGCGCCGTCGCCACTCGGTGCAGCGACGGCTCTCGGTGGACGCCAGCGACTTGCGCCGGCGGTCGACGGTCATGCAGCGCGCGTCCGCGCCGCCGACGATGGCGTGGACGTTCTCGACGACCGAGCTCGGCGCTGCCATCCACGATACGTTCGCGTCGCTGGAAACCGTCTTCGGCGATGCCTTTGCGTTGGCCGACGCGGATCGGGTCGCGCACTTTTTGCAGATGAAAGAGGCGTTCCGGCGCGCCGATGTCGACGGCAACGGCGTCCTTGATGTGGCCGAAGTCGAGCGCGTCCTCCGTGCGCTCTGGGGCCACGACGCGGTGCAGCTCGACGATCTCGTGCGATCGTTTATGGCCCTTGTGGACAAGGACAAGAGCGGCGCGGTGTCGTGCCAAGAGTTTATGGATGCAATCGACGACGGCCTCGTGCTGCGGGGTCCGTCTCGGCCGAGTCTGCACCCGCAAGAGCTCGTCGACCTCGACGACGTCGCTCTCACGGATACGGCGCAGAGTATGCGAACGGCGTACACGGCATGGCTCTTGCAAGACCGGCGGTTTGAAATGGTTTCGATGGACGAGCTGCTCTTGCTCAACGGTCTCATGGGGTGCGTCAGCGGGATCGCCGTCGAGCTGCAGCGCCTTGCCGATGTCTCGGCCCAGTAGTCCAACTCCAATATTTATATATTCTCAATAGACGGTTGCTCAGGCTTGATCGCGCGTCCCATCATGCGCTCACTTTGATGGCTCCAGTAGGGTTGGGTCTTTAACGTAGGGGTAGGTTTCGCTCGTGCAGACAAAGGGGCCTTCAAATTCGAGGACGGCAACGACGAGCGGGTCGATCGATTTATATGATGTCTACCTGCAGGAATTGCTAGACGGGTTTGCGCTGTCAGCGAGCAATGCAGAAGCACGCTTGCATACGACGTGCACGGACATGGCGCGCATAGACATGTACGCATCGTCTTCTTGTCTCTTTTTTGAAGAGCCCACTTTGCTGTCCAGCCTTCGTCTCAAATCCCTCATGTTTCATGCAACATGTCTGATCTCGGAAGAATGGGGTTGTGCAATTGAATGGTATTACAGTGTGGAATACAGGTCGTCGCCCTGTGGCAATTAGGTCGCGACTACTGCTGGACCGTCATTTCCTCGAGGAGCGCGAGGTTGCGCGCGATGCCCGAGACGCCGCTGATGAGGCAGTTGAGGAGGAGGAGCTCTTCCATCGACACCTTTTCGTAGCGCTGCTTCTCCATGAGCCACTCGGCGTACGACGCGCGCATCGTCTTGGCAATATCGACGAGCGAGAACGAGTCGACGTTGAGCATGTCGTGGGACCGCGTCATCGGCGACATCATCTTGGCCGGCGACGACTGCTGCCGCGCGAGCTTCTCGACGTTGACGCTCACGTCGTCTTCGGTGATGGCCGGGAGCGCGACCGGCCGCGACTTGTGTTGGAAGACCTCGACTTCGAGCTTGAGGCCGTGCTCCAGAGCTTCCATAAACTCCTCGAACGACACCTTGCCGCTCTTGTCCTTGTCGACAATGTCCATGAATTCGGCCACGTAGTCGTCAATCTCGTCGATCTTCATCGCGCCCGACTGCTGGAAGATGTGCTCGAGCATCGTCTTGACCTCGTCAGCGTCAATCTCGCCCGAGCAGTCGGTGTCGGCGAGCCGGAAGGCTTCCTTCATCTGCATGAAGAGCGCGGTCTGGTCGGCGTCGGCGTACCGAAAGTCCTCGCCAAAGAGCGAGTGCAGCGTATCAAACGTGTCGTGGATCGCAGCGCCGAGCTCCTTGGTGGAGAAGGCCCACGCTTCCTTGTTTGTCACGACGTGCTCTGTGTTGATGGACGCGCGGATGATCTCGTCGAGCTTGAGCTTTTTCTCGAGGACTTCGCCGTCGGCCGCCTTTTGCGCCTTTCGGAACTGGAACCACGACACGAGCTTGTACAAGATGAGCGAGTTGTTGAGGAGGCGTTGGCAGCAGTCGAGCACGGCTTCGTACTTTTGGTAGCTGAACGCTGGCTTCCACAGCAGCGGTTCGAACGACGCTTCGCGCAAGAGAGACACTTGCTCGGTGATGAGCGCTGGCACTTGCTTGGTGACGATCTTGCGCACCTCGTCCATCTTGTCTTCGTCAATCGACCCGTTTGCGCTCAGATTTTGCTCAAAGAGCGTCGTGAACGCGGTCTGGACCAGCTTCATTTGCTTCTGCACGTTCTCGCGCAAGAGACTGATCGCTGACTGAGGGCAAAAACAGAGCTCGACGAAGATGAAGAGGATGATGCCCAGCGACATTTGGCACAGGTTCGAATACGACGAAATCGGCGTGATGCTGTCTTTGGAGCAGTCGCAGCCCTTGAGGAGGACGCCGGCGGCCACGTAGGCGGCGACGAGGCCCGCGTACGCCTCGTACCCGCCCTTCCACTTGATGTACATGGAGAACGTGACCCAGACGAAGAGAATGATGTTGGTGAGGAAGACGACGAGCGTGTGGTCGATGCAGCCGTACGAGCAAATGAAGAAGAGGAAGACAGACGGAATGATCGAGCCGGCGACGACGCCACCGACGCGGTTGACCGTGACACTGAACGAGCCGCCTAGGAAAACGGAACGCGTGTTAAGTATGGTCATTCTGTTGAGGGAAAGCGTCGTACCGATGCGGTTGCCCATGACGTACGCAACGGTCGACGCCGTCGTGGCCGAGTAGCCAAAGACGTAGACCGAGAAGAAGCAGCCGGCGAGAATCGCAAACCAGATCTTGAGCGCGTTCTGAAACTTGATTTTTGTGTACTTGGAGCTGTCAAAGTACGAGAGCACCGTGTTCTTGAAGAACTTCTTCATGCGCGAGCCCTAATCCATGCCATCTTGAGTCTCTAGTCGATCAATCTATCGCAATGATGTACCGTCTTGTGGTCCTTGGTGTTGTACGTCTCTTCAAACTCGACGAGCGTCGTGCAAAACGACTGCAATGAGAAGAGGAAGAGGTTGAGCGGGATGTTGCCCTCGACGTCCGTCACGGTCGGCTTCTCGCGCTGGTAGATCTTGTTTTGTGTCTTCTGGAAGTCGAGAAGCAGCTTCTCCATTTGACGCTCGAGGTCCCGAATCTCCGTCAGCTCGAGCTCTACAGATTCGAGTTGAGTACATATGACGTGGTCGTGTCGAGATGAATCAGCGGACGCACTCTTGTTGTTGGTGTGGATCTTGTCGGAAATTTCGTTGAGGACGGCGGTTGCCCGGAGCTGGATCATGTACACGTCCTTCTGCAGCTTCTTCATAAAGGACGTGTGAAGCCGCTCGTAGCGCTCGAGCTGGATCGCTTGGTTCATCGCGCGGAGGTTGTCGATGAGCGAAGCATAGAGCTCAATGTACGTCTTGGTGACCGACGTCCGAAACTCGAGGGCGTAATGCAAGCCGACGCTCTGCTCCCACCACACGTCGTTGAGGAGTGCGGTCATGGTGTCCTTCTTCGCATGCGCCAAGTCAAACTTGCGCTTGAGTTTGAGTTTGAGAAAGTTCATGTGGTCGACGTCCTTGTTCTTGAAGCAGTACGAGTCGACGATCATGTTGAGGAGGTCCTGGACCGTGTCGGCCGCCGATTGGTTCTTTTTGGAGCCGTCGGATCGCACTACACATGTCGCAGCATGAGTATCCTTGATAAGATGGACAAGTTGTCATCGTCGCGTACAAAATCGGGTATGGCACCCAGAGCACGAAAAGCGCAATGCACGCGCCAAGGACGCCGAGAAGCATGTAGACGGCGAGGTTCTTGAGGATGTTGGAGGTCGAGTAGTACGGGTCGTTGAGGCCCTTGAGCTTGCTCGGGTCGATAAAGTCATTGGGACTCGCGAGCGTCAGCGAGAAATACAAGTTGTTGCCGATCGCGAATTTTTTCGTGTTGTTTTCCTGAAAACACGATCTTTTTGAGCATTTCCAACATTGAAAAAATTATGGAAAAATACCACAGGGATGATGAGCATGACGAGCGTGAACACCATGATGAACGGCAGGATCGTGTAAAAGTCGTTCTGGTGCACGTAGTACGGGGTGCCACTGAACGCCTTCTCGATCTTGGTCATCTTGCCATCGTCGACGGCTTTGTTGGCTAGGGGTAGGGTAAGACCCCGGTCGTCTGCATGGGGTCGTACCTTCGGCCAAGCTCGTAAAGAGCTCGGGCTGGAACACCGAGAAGATCGCAAGGTTGTAGAGAAACGCGACGCCGACGCCGGAAATCTGCTGGTAGATCTCGCGCACGGTCGAGCCAATGTTCTTGCCGCACGAGAAAATGGTCGCCGTCGCCACGTATGAGAGACCGCCGAGGATATACCACTCGGGGAAGAAATACCACTGCTTGACATGCAGCGGCGCCGGTGCCACGATGATCGAGTCGTTCACCGAGACAGGGCGCGTGCTCAGGTTGAGGCCGTTGCCTGGGGCCTTGGGGTTGGTCGACGCCGTCGTTAGCACCATGGACGCAATCATGACGCCGACCGCCGTCCGCAGCGCCAGCCCGAGGTTGAACTTGAAATCGGCTAGAGAGAACCATGAGCACGAGCGGTGATCGATGCCATGGTCGTACGTCGAAAGCGGTTGCTCGCACCGACCGCGCGTTCTTGGCCCATGTTGATCTTGAGCTTTCCGAACGCGTCGTCCCGCGCGGACCGGCTCGCGCGGCTCATGCGCGACTCGCGGCGCCCGCCGAGGCTCGCCTTGCTCGGCATCGAGTCGCGCGTGACAATGCTGATGGGCGGCAGCATGCCGTTGTTGCTCTCGTGGCGGCTAAGGTTGCGATTGCGCAACGTCGAGTCCTCGCTGCCACGCCTACACCGGCGTTTATTACGACGCACGTCCTCGTCGATCGCACATACCCTTCGACGGGCGTCGCCAGCACGTGGTACTTGGAGGGACTGTCCATGAGGCACCTCCTAGCCGCCGCCATGAGCCATCGATCGGGCGAGCGTGTTCTACCTTGGTTCACGCCACGATTCAAATGCGGAAATGGAAATCACCACCGAGTTACGTCGACAGATGCTGGGCGGCCAGATGCTTTCCTGCGGCTAATCGCACGCAACGCTCCGCACACCAAAACTCTCTTCCGTGCCTCTTGTTTCATGTACTGCGACCGCGCATATGAGCGTCGGTCTCAGATACATATCGCTCGTCTTAGACAGGCGGCGCGACGACGACGAGCAAACGCAGTGCCAACGGTTCCGACAAATTGCGTGCGTCTAGCCTCCTCGAGCGCACCCACTACCATACATAGCCCTAGAGCTGGTTGTTGTGAGTCACTCGGGCCGCTGTGCCCCGGGGCTCGCCTTGTATGCGATTGGCGCTTCCATACAAAGAGCAAGTGTGTTTCCGAAACCTGACAGCGCCGTGTCACGCGACCAAAGTGCACTTGTTGAAGCTCCTTGGACTTCAAGGTCGATGTGCAACGCTTCGACGGGCGAGTCGCAGGCCTCGTGTTTACCTCGAATGGGTGTGCTCTGGACGGACGAGCCATTAGTACGTGGAGGCTGTCGGCGCCGCCTGCGAAACGCCGGGCCTAGACGGGCACCTCTTGTCCCTGAGGCGGCCAGAGGAGGACGGGCCAGAGACGCGGGGTGGACGAGGATCGGAACGTGCCACATCCATGCAACGACGCCATGGACTCGAAGGCCGGCGACGCCGTCCACTCTGTCGTACGGTAGGCAAGCCACGTATTTTCAAAAGGGTTTTGCAATGTGTTAGCGCACAAGCTTGTGGCTCGCGGACGGCGCGAGCTTCTTTGGGTTGGCGTCCAGCGTCAAGAGCGCTGTAATCGCTGCGACCCGCGCTTTCGACACGAACGGCTGCATCTGCCACGAGGCGACGTACAAGAGCGCTGCGTTGTGGCCGGCGCAGTCGAGCACGTCGTGGACGAGGAGCGTCTTCGCCACGAGCTCGGCCTCGTACATGTGCAGCAGCTCGCGCATGTAGGCTTCTAGAAATTGCAGTAGTATCATGGCGCCAGGAACAAGGTTACCAGATTGAAATGGCGAAAGCGTCGCGCTCGGATCAGGATCGACTTGAACGAGTTCGATCGACGGCATGGCCTCGTATGCGCAAAGGTGGCGCATGCGCCCCACCATCTCGGCCTACCCGTGCTGCTAAGCACCAGAAGCGAGGAGCGTACATGCGTCTACCAAGCGATCGATGAGCTGCGTAAGGTTGCGCTGGACAAAATGCGCCTCGCGCTGCAGCTAGAGAGGCGACCAGTCAAGCTACAGTCTAAAAAGTCTCTATGGGCAGACCAACCTTGTGGCGCAGCTCAGTGTGCAGGCCCGTGGCCTCGGCCAGCACGCCCCAGGACTCGCCATCCGCGTACGTTTCCTTCTGGAGGGCGTTGGCGATCTGCGTGAGCCGACCAGTACCCTCGGCGATCGCTACGTCCCACTCGGTTTGGAGCTCCTTGAAGACCGTGAGGCGCGTCCGGCGGCGCTGCATGGTGGGGCGGCGACTCAGAACGATATGATTGGCTGAAATGCAATCCCATCCTGAGTTTGATTGGTTCAAGTGTCCTGGACGGCATGCGACGAGGCGATCACGCCAAACGGCACTCGGCCACACGATTGGCCAAAATACCGCATTGCGGTCGTCACCGATTGGTTTAAACTCCGATGACATCGCAGTGCCATCGGCCATGCTGATTGGCTGAAATATATCGAGCATCAACGTGCGGTGGGTGAAAAACCTTTTCCACGTGGAAATCCTAATCCTAGTGCGAGGACAGGTGCCGTATTTGGTGCCAAGATCACTCGGGATCGCGTGTGCGTCATAGCAGCAAAATGTCGACTGGCGGCGTCCCCTGGTGGGGTTCTACGTTTACGAGGCGCCAATTTCCCGCGCTTGCGATTGTCGCAGGAATGCAAAGTTGTCCTTACATCGCTTTTACATGGAAGAGAGACCTTTCTTCCGTGTTCAGCCCATGGCGACACGCAAGACTAGAAAGATGCCCGAGCGCAGTGTAATCACTGTGATGACAACGGGCAAGAGAGAACGAGCCGACTCATTATTGCTGGATCGAGCCATGAGGGTTGACACCAAACGCACGTGGATTTGTAATCGATTGCCAAGGGCAACTGGGTTTGTAAACCTTAAACTAGGACCTTTGGACCGAATTGGATCGTGAGATTCGGCATTCGACCGCACTTCAAGGCGCTGTCCCACTCTAGCCATCATCACCGCACCAGCGTACCCAGGTCACCGTTTTATTCACGCGCTAATTGGCTCCTTGAGGTGAAATGACCTGCTTTACCACCAATCCACATCGCCCAAGTCCGAAGTTCGCACCTCGTGGCGATCCAAGCGAAGTACGAAGTTCAAGTCGGGGATGGACCCTTTTGTTTCATTTTCATTTTCAGCGGACAAGAAGGATTCGAATGGCGAAGCGTATCAAAGTGGCCTCCAACCGCGGTCCGTGGCATGCAAGCCACCGCGGAAGATGACATCCTGTATATGTAGACGTGTGCATTGTGGGCATTGCGCGGACGCCCATGGGGTCGCTCAACGGCGCGCTCGCGAGCAAGACCGCCGTCGAGCTTGGGGCGATTGCCATCAAAGGTAGTACCGTCGACTTGCATCGCACGGCTGGCGCTGACCGAGACGCATGCTACAGCGGCAGTCGAGCGCAGTGGCATTCGCGCTGAAGACGTCGATGAAGTATTTATGGGCCACGTGCTCTCGGCCAACGCCGGTCAAGCTCCTGCCCGACAAGCCGCGATCAAGGCGGGTCTCCCCGAGAGCGTGCCCTGCACGGCCATCAACAAGGTCTGCGCATCGGGCATGAAGGGTATGCCAACGCGTTTCGATGAAAACGACTCATCTCGTGCATGCAGCGGTGGCGTTTGCGAGCCAGGCCATCATGCTCGGCTTCCGCGACGTTGTCGTCGCGGGTGGTACGCGGCCCGACCCGACGATTCGATCCTCTCATGATAATCGTAGGCATGGAAAGCATGACGCACGCGCCTCACATGTCGGGGTCGCTCCGTGGCGGCGCTCGGTTTGGCGAAGTGTCGTTTGTCGATGCTGTCCAGCGGGTACGTCATGCAGTCGACATTGCAGACTCAAGGTCGCAACTCGTCTAGGACGGCTTGAACGACGCGTTTGATAATGTGCCCATGGGTAACTTTGCCGAGCTCTGCGCAGCGAAGTACAACTTGTCGCGTGCCGACCAAGATGCATATGCCGCCGAGTGCTACCGCAAGGCCATCGTACGTCTCTCCTCACATATTGCGTGCACATACCCATGGGTCGTTTGTCTAGACGGCCACGGAAACCGGCAAGTTCTTGGCTGAAATCGTGCCTGTGCCCGTCGTTCGCAAGCGCGGTAGCTTCGTCGCTTCGTACGGCGGGGCGCCTTAAACGAATGCATATAGGCGAAGCGCCCGTGCTCGTGGAGAAGGACGAAGAAGCGTTTGCACGGCCCGTGTCGCTCGCGTCGCTCGAGAAGCTGCGTCCGTGCTTTGATCCGCCGACGAGTGTCACGGCCGGAAACGCGTCGCCGATCAGCGACGGCGCCTCCGCGCTCGTCCTCATGAGCCGAGAAAAAGCGATCGCGCTTGGTGTCGAGGGCAAGATTCTGGCGGTCATCCGCGGCTTTGACGATGCGGCCCACGACCCGCGCTTCTTCACGACGGCGCCGTCGCTTGCGATTCCTAAGGTACTGCCGTCTTGGATGCCATCGGTGGATGATGATACACATGCTTTTCTCTTGTAGGCGCTGCAGCGGGCGGACGTCGGCCTTGACGAGATTGACTACTTTGAGCTCAACGAAGCGTTCTCGGCCGTCGCGCTGGCCAATTGCCAGATTCTGGGCCTCGACGCGGGCCGCGTCAACGTCTATGGTGGCGCGGTCGCCCTCGGCCATCCCCTCGGGTGCTCTGGCGCGCGCATCATTGCGACACTCTGCTCGGTGCTCCACCAAGAGAATGGCCGGTGCAGTCGATCCTATCCTATTTTTCATGCACCTCATGCATCCCACTCTTGCATAGGATCGGTGTGGCGGCCGTCTGCAATGGTGGCGGCGGTGCGTCGGCGGTCGTGCTGGAGCGCGTTGTCGCTTGACGCTGCCGCCTCTAAGCACAATCGTGTCGTTTGTCTTACATATCTAAACCTAAACCTATGCTACGCCGTCCTCGTCCCTGCCGCATGTATCCGATCGATCAAGGACCGCTACTCTCGAGCTTCGTGGCACCTGCGAGCGGTGTCGGCGTCATTGGCGTCTCGATGACGACGTGCTGCGTTGTGCGTACGACGTCAGGGATGCACCGGAACGCCACTTGGTAGGCGGCGTAGTGCTGGAAGAAGGTGCTCCCGAGGTACTCGACGATGCGCTGGACGTCGCTGGTCGAGAAGATGCCGACGTGCGTCGGTGGCAGCTCGACGCTGTGCTGCGTGAGCAACGTCGTGAGCTCGTGGTACGTCTCGGACAAGGTCGCTTCCGTCGTCGTCGCCGTCGTAAAGAGGCGGTGGACGACAAGAAGCATCAGCGCTGTCTTCTGCACGTCGGACGCGAACGCTTGCTTGCAAAACGCCAGCGCATAGTGGCAGAGGTCGACGTGCGCGCGGCTCCGCGCATTGGTCGCGTAGTGGTTCACGCCGAGGAGGCGCTGCAGCGTCGCCTGCGCGTCCGCCGTCGTCGCGGCAGATAGGAGCGCGGTGGTGTCGTCTTGGGAGAAGAGGCTGAAGACGAGCTCGTAGCCGGTCGGCGCCGGCGGCTTCTCGGGCTCGATCGGCACGGGCACGGCGACCTCCTTGGGCTCCTCCTTCTTGCCCATCGTGCGGTTTTACAGTGTAACGGAACCGTGGCGACGGCCACATCTGCCGCTGCCCATGCAGGCTGCTAAGCGGGCTCTCAAAGATGGCTCGCCAATGGAGCTAGCCAAGTGGGCCAGCCAAGTGGGCTATTGAAGAAGGCTACCCACCCAGTGGGCTGTAAATGATGGCGAGGAGACTAAGGCATGGGGTAATACACTTGAGCTCGTTACTCGACTAGCAACTTAGTGCGCGTAGAGGTCCGAGACGTCGGACGAGACCGTGTCGTTGGCGGTGATGCGGTGCACAAACTGCTCCGGGATCGGGCGCTCGATGTACTCTTCCGCGCCTTCGGCGACCGGGAAGGCGACGTTCATTTCGGACGACTTGGATGTGACGAGCTGGACGTCGCGGCCTTCGTACGAGAGGTACACGAGGCAGCCGTCCGTCTTGTCGATAGCGACCGAGGGCACCTTGCCCTTGCACTGCACCTGGACGTTCTTGCAGTTGACAATCTCGACCGACGAGACGGCGCTGTCAAAGATGAGCTTGGTCTTCGTGCACTTGTCGAGCGCGATCGTCTTGGCCTTGCCCTCGATGATGAGCGTCGCCTGGTTGCAGTTGAAGATGTACACTTGCTGCTTCAAGTTGACATCCGAGAGCGTAAACACGTCCTTTTGGTGCGCGACAAACCAGTTGCCGTTGCGGATCTCGCAGATCGGGTCCTTCTCGACCACCGGCGCCGGCGCCGCCTTGACCGGCGCGGCCTTGACCGGAGCCGCCACCGGCGCCGGGGCATCACCGCCCTTGTATTCCTGGCGCCACGTCTGCATGTCCTTCGTGACCGTGCGGAGACCCGCCGTCTTGCCGCCGCTCTGGTCGATCGACTTGATGCCCGCAAAGATCGAGTTCATGCCACCAGCAGCAGGCGCCGCGGGCTTGGCCGGGGCTGCCGCCGGGGCCGGGGCTTCGGCCGAGTAGTTGGCGACATCACCGCCCTGGGCGTTCCAGGTCACACCCGTCGTGTGGTGCTCCTTGACGTACGCCATGAGCTGCACGAGGAGCGTCTTGAAGGACGCGACAAACTCAATCTGGTCCGGGTTGGACGTCTTGAACTGGACACGGATCTTGTTGCCCCAAAAGTCGCCGCCGCCAATGTACGACTCGATAAAGGGCTTGGGCGCGGGCTCAACGCAGAGCCAGCCGAGGCTCTGGATACCTTCGTTGAGCATGTTCTGGTGGTTGGCAAACTCGCTGCGGTTGTCGCGGAGCTTGTTGATCTCCTTCATGCACTCCTGGATCGGCGCGAGGAGCGTCATGACAGGGCCGGCAGGCTTCTTCGAGACGCTCGCCGCCACGAGGTACGTGCGCTGGGCGTCGAACGCGCGCTTGACGATCTCGCCGTACTTTTCGACCTCGGCGCCGAGCTTGGTGCAGGCCGCGAGGAACGGCGCGAGATACGCAGCCGTGTATTCGTCGTAGGCTTCGATGCGCGGGGCCACGGCGACGGCCGCGGGCTTGGCAGGCGCCGCCGCCGCAGCGCGCGGGGACGCGGGCGAGCCGAGGCCCATCTTGGCCTCGACGGCGGCCAGGCGTTCCTGGAGGCGGTTGAGCATGTCTTGGAGGGGCTGGGTGGCGGCCATGTGGAAGGTGCAGGAAATGCCAAAGTGCGACGATCCGGGCGAAGGATGGGGATTCAATCTTAACCGGAGATTTCAACTGACGTTGTACGGCAATGTACGGCCGGCCGTACATGAGATCCACCAAAACGCAGACCTTGCTCAAGTGTCGAGCTTAGTAGAAGGCACCGCCACGGGTAAGCAATGCTACCCTCTATCCAGGGGTACTAGTATGTACCCCTGCCTCTATTGCTGTCATCGTTTGCAGAGAGGGGACACCATAAGCCCATACGAGTTAGAACCGAGCGGATTTCCCTCAATCCGCACTGTGGCTTGGGGTTCCAACGTTATTATACCGCAAGACGCCCTCATGTACTGCGTGATGCAGCTTCTCTTGGCCTCGGTTTCCATCTCGGCGTCCTCCGAGTGTCAAGTACGTGGCGGCGTAAGCGTACGGGCACGGGACTGTACGATGTACGTTTGCATAGATACGAGGCGAATGTACGAAGACAGTACACGACATACAATCCTCGCTGGTTCTTGCTTGAAGTTGGTCGACGCGAGCGGTGGTCGTCGTCTGGGACGATGGCGTCTGGCCCGTTTATCGCCGTCGCCTCGGCCTTCGCCAAGCAATTTGCACAGTGCCAAATCCCGTGGCTGAAGCGAGCGCTTGCTAATACGGCGCCGACTGTGACATGGTGGCGAGCAACTGAGCTCAAAGTTTGGCGTCTGCGACAGCTGCGACGACGATGAAGCACCTTGAGCAATGGGCGAGAGCACGCTCGCCGCCCGCGACGGCGCAGGGTCGAAGGAGACAGTCGCCTGGAGCGACATGGTGGAGCGGTGCGCGTCGACTGCCAAGTCTCCGAACGGCTAGCACTCGTGCAGGTAAACAGCATGCCATCGCATTGGCCGCGTACTCGTTCGAATCGCATCCAGGTAGCTCGGTGAGCTCTGGGCATAGTAGCAGTAGCATGGATCGCCCTAAGTCCTGGTGTGGTTGGTCGTCGACTCGGCCTTCTCTGACGTGGCGGACGCTGGCGTGTGTTGGCCCGTACGTTCGCGCGCACCACATGCGCGCGAACCTCCACAACACCCAGTATACAAACATCGAGTGTGCCTATTTTTAAGGATCTTTCATACAAACCCAAGGTATGTCCAGGAGGTTACCGTATTTATTTTTACAATTATAGCGTCGCCGTCGTATTTCCCCCGATGGCGACGCCCGAGGAGCAAAAGTTTCAGGTCTACAACCAGGCGCTCCTGCACGCGTCGACGTGCCGGCTGCCCGAATGCAGTAGCCACGACGGCCGGTGCCACAAGGTGCGCGCGTCCATCAACCACTTTAGCCAGTGCTACGCCAAGCGGCGCACGACGTCGCGCATCGACGAGATCGAAGAGTGCAAGCACTGCGGCAAGATCTTTGGCCTGCTCTGCTACCACGCCAAGGTGTGCATGGCCACCGACAAGTGCCAAGTGCACATGTGCGACTACCTCCGGCGAAAGATGGGCCAGCAAGCGGCTGCGGCGCGTGGCCCGGCGCCCGAGGCGTGGCCGATCGAGCGCCGGCTGGCACAGGCCGAGCAGGACCGGGTCCAGATCTTGGAGCTCCTGCGACACATTGTGAGGCAAAAGTACGCCAACGGCGACGAAATCCAGCCCTACTACCAGCAGTTCCTGCATTAACACGCCGCGTATAATATACAAACTGTTCGTGTTTATAAATACTGGTAGGACGCAATGTACATGTACGCAAATGTGCACAATCGGACAATAAATAAGTGACGCGACGACCAACGATCACTCGACCGCGCCCGTGTCGTCGTCTTCCAGCGCCAATGAGCTCAGCGCAAAGGTTGGTAAGCTGGGGACGACGGTCGCCAGCGGCGCGTCGTCTAATGTCAGCAGCGCATCCTCGGCGGCACGATAAGCTTTGAGTTGCGCCGCCATTGGTGACGGTGCAGCTCGTTGGGCTTCTAATTTGGTGTCGTTGGCCGCATCCGTGCTTTCTTCCGAGGCGACTGGCGCTTCATCGTTGGACTCGTTGGTAGGCACCACGACATCGTCGACGGGAGCGGCCTCGGGCTCGACCGCCGCCTCTTCGACCGGTTCTTGGACGACTTCTTGCGGGACGTCGTCCACTGGCGCGGCTTCCGGGGTGTCGTCGGCGGCCTGCGCATCTTGCTCAACCGCAGCAGGTTCCTGGACAATTGGCTCGTCCACAGGCTCCTGCGCAGCTTCAACGTCGGTGTCGTTGGCCGCATCCGTGCTTTCTTCCGAGGCGACTGGCGCTTCATCGTTGGACTCGTTGGTAGGCACCACGACATCGTCGACGGGAGCGGCCT